ATGTTTAGTATATTTAGTCTGTATTTATTGTATATACTTAGTATTTTCAGTATTTTTAGTCTGCATTGTACTTCTTATATTTAATTTTATTTTGTATTATTTTGCTGCTGTAACATGTGAATTTCCCAGTTTGGGATCAATAATATCTATCTATCTATCTATCTATCTATCTATCTAGGAAGAGTATAAAAGAGTATAATTGTTAGCACACTGGATTTTATTTTTGAACATCTGTTTATTGATTTTTAACATCATATAGAATATACCAAACAAAAGTCAGAAAACTGAGCACAATAAAACAGAAGTTATGACACAGCAAAGAGAAAAAGAACTAATAAAATCAATCAAACGAATAGACATTTTAGTGGCAGCACAACAGTTACTCAGATACACACAATCTAACATGCAATCACAGGTACAGACTGGTTATAAAATTTATGTCAGACAGAAAACACTTAACACCATTTACTCAATCAGACGAACAACTGGTCGCAAAATTTTCTGAGGAAGATTCTCTCTGTTTGACAAAGTGAATCTTATTTTTTCTAGATGCAGTACCTTCCCTTGTTCCTTCAGCCACTTACTGAATGTGGGGGTCTTATCAGGGATCCAGTATTGTAGGACCACATTCCAGACCAGCAGTGTGGCCAGAGCATAGACTGTATATAGAATGGACAGAGTCTGCCTCCTTGATGGGTGAAGCCACTCCGAGAACAGCACCCTCTGGTGATGGGCTGCAGTATAGGTCATAAATCCTGCCTCGAACAGCCATCCTTATGGGGCTGTGGACAAACTTTAGAAATTTATCACACAGAATATACATTTTTCTCCCCCCTGCTTGTGATGTTGACATGTAGTTAGTGTTAAGGTCCTTGCACACCAGGCACGAATTCGCCAGGCGAATTATTCACCTTTTTTTAAAAACAGCATAAAGTCAATGCAAGCTTCCACACCGGCGGAGATTTTTCAGGGGCGAAAAGTGTCTTTTTTGTTCGCTTTTGTTCAGGGGAGAGTTGGGGTAAATTGAGGCTGGTGAGAAATAGTCTGATGTCTTCTTCCTTAGGGGTATTATCTGAGGAGAATAGGTTGACATAAAATTCTCTGAATATTTGATTTGTTTCATCGGGTGAGTTTGTTGACTTCCCTGCTGAGTTCATGATGGTGGAGATTGTGGATTTTTCTTTATTTCTTTTGATTTCTTTTGATTTTTGACAGAAAAAAATGTATGCCACCTTCAGTGAGAGTCAAAAAATAAGTCTGCAGGACAGACTTGTGTGCAAAATTTTTAGTTTTTTGGGGGCCGGGTCGAGTGTTTTCTATTCGCTTTAACTCAGTTAAACGCATTTGTCACCCCAATAATATAATGGCCGAAGTCTTTTTTTGACAAAAATTAGTTTTTGGCCTAAATCGTCTCTTGATAATGCTGGCCATCTCTGATAAAATCACCTAAATCCTTAGTTGAAATGATCATGGCGTGATCCATGGCCACATTGACAAATGTTTAGGCATGTTTCTGGTGTTTCCAGCTTTGCATGTTATCACTGCTTTAGCTAATTTCTGCCTACTTTCATACTGTCTGCCATGTTTTTTTCTCGGTCACTGTTCCTGTTTGCATAAACTGGCACTCATGAGACCGTTTTTCAAGGCACCCAGAAAAAAGGAATCGTTGTGATAAAATGTTGATGGATTGAACCATTTGACATGGTTATCACAGGAAAAAGGGGGCCAGGTGTTAATTTCAGGTGGGGGTGGGGGGGGTGGAAGACAAAGGAAACTACTAAAGGAGTCTCCGATCAGGGCGGGGTCCAGGAGGGTGTCATATCTTTTTGCATAGGGGACACCTTTTGTTCTGAATGCTTCTTCAGTTACAGTTTCAAGGCATCCCCAAACACAGTCAGCATAAAATGCTATTTTTCATCAGTTAGCATATTTTTAGTGGATGACCATTACTATGTACTAAAATAATAAAGCTGTTGACGGGTCTCAATTCTTCGGGTGATGGTCTGCTGGAGCTGCTTCTCTAGAGGTCCTGACCTTTGCTGGGCTCTATGCTAGACACTACTAGCTCTTTTCTACTTAGCTTGGATGAAGTGTAGAGCCTTTGATGAAAAAATAGCAATCAGGTTCAAATCATAAGATGAGGCTGCCCAAGTTGCATCCAGGCTACTTTATTCAGCTGAGGTAACAAAGAAAATCCCCTTCTTTTACAGCACATTTTGGTAGGCGTACACATGAAACAGACTTCAGTAGTACAGATGCTCTCCGTGGGCATACATTGATCATGTCCTAATAAAGAAGTCATACCCAGAATAGTATCCAGCAAGAATGCACTATAAGTTAACAAGTTCAGAGGAGTGACCCTAGGCCTTATAACAACATATTACATGAATTTAGAATAGCAGGTACAGGTTGTCCAAGAGAAGATACAGAACTTTGTCAAAAATGACTTCACACTGTGTTGGGTGTCTCAATTGTGAGGTGGTGTCTGGTTGAGGCTGTCTCCTGGGAGGACCTGTTCTAGGCTAAGTCTACTTTACTGGACTCACTTAGCTCAGCCTTTTTCTTTTTTTGTCTTGTCCACAGATGTGTGAATGTGACCAACTGGCCATGTAAAGTAAATAACATTTCATTATCTACCAGGTATGAATTGTTACAAAATTTTAGGTTAAAATGTATCCAACAGCGGTATCCATGTCATTTACTTTTTGATTTTGCAGTGTTTGAAACATCAAAGGATTTATCAATGTTGAACAGATAAATCTGTCATTATTTATTCAAAACCCACTGAATTGTTTCATTTACATTTGACTGACAAACACCCATCACATTAAATTTATTGGCTTGTTGATGTTAAATCTAAGTAATTCAAATGGATAGATATTTTATATGCAATTGAAATACATAAATCTTAAGAATCAGGCCTAAGTTTTTCTGAGCGTGTGAATCCTTTTAGACGTGTGGTTCAAGCTACTATCAATCACTAACATTAGTGTCTACAATTCCTACAACACACAACACGAGTTCCCTGGCTTTCACTCACTAAAACCAGCTGTATTTTTCAGGTCTCAGTAGGAGTCTTGTTGCCAACAGGATACCCATCAATAAAAACACCAGAGTCCAGCAAACAGCTTCATTCTTCAGAGTCATAGAGCAGTAAGAAGATCTGCAGCTTATACTGAAGTCATGCTGCTCATATATGTCTTTAAATGGGTGTTGGGAGACTGTCTTATTCTTTGTAAAGATCTAATGGTATCTCACGCAAAAAGTGTGTGTGTGTGTGTGTGTGGTGTGTGTGTGTGTCGGGGGACTAGTCTAAAGATGAGTCCCCCCACCCCCTACTCTTCAGATCTATCACACAGCGGGAGGGGGTTGATAAGTTGTCTTATCTCGTGATTGTCTGATTATCTAGTGAGGTGTTTAGGCTTATCATGCTTGTGGAGAATGCTGATGCCATTGACCAGTGGTTCCCAAACCTTTTCTGCCAGGTGTGGGAACTAATGTGTCATGCCAATCATTAAGTCATTGTTTCAGGTGATTAACTGTTTTCTTATTATGTTTACATTATGTTGTGCGCCCAATGCGGACATGTACTGATGAGTCAGATAGAAAGTTTAAAGCTAACACAGGGGCAATTGATCACTGTGTCACAATATATAGAAGAGAGACTCTCAGTAAAGAAAGATTGTAGAGAGAGGATGTATCCACCTTTCGTCAAACTTTTGACAGGTCTGACCTAGTTGGAGCTAATTTGCATAGGCGGGAGTTGACCTTTGACCCTCCCCCTTTTCCCACGGGAGGGGTTGACGCACCCCCCTTTTTTTCCTGGGCATGCATGTGTCTGAGAGTCTGGACTTTTGTTACGGAACTATTATTACAACTACAAAGAGGAGGTTAGTATGACCACGGTTTAATCAACTATGACATATCAAGAGTCCATTTGATTCCATATAAATCTATTTTCATATACAAAAACCCAGACGCACCCCCTTTTTTTCCCAGGCATGCACGTGTCTGAGCGTCTGGACTTTTGTTATGGAACTGTTATTACAACTACAACGAGGAGGTTAGTATGACCACGGTTTAATCAACTATGACATACCATGAGTTTCTGAAGCTCACAATCAAAGTCGCTTTAAGAAGCGATGTCAGTCAGATTATTTTCAGGAGGAGAGCCCTTACTGACATACAAAGAGTTTCTCAGGGTTTCTCTGTTATTCTTAGAACAAACTTAAAACCAGACAGAATATCTTCTATTAAACTTAACTTTTCTACAGCAAGCAATGAAAAATGAAGATGAAGTTACTTAAAATTAGAATAGCAGCATAGCAAATATAAGTGTTGTTGTCTTAAATCAAGACACCAAAACATTCTCATTAAATATATATTTTTTATTCTACAAGCAAGCACGTGGAAAGCAAGCATGTTCTTTGTTTTTTTTTTTTTTCGGTTTTTATCTGATCATTGTATTATGTTGTGTTGTGAGCCAATTCAAAGATTGGCTACCTATTTAGGCCCTCCTACATCCCTTCTTTGTCCCCAAACTATCTTTCGTTACCATCTGTTTTTTTTTAAATTTAACATAGAGTTGTGATTTGCGACCTGTGACCTGCAACTGTGCACTTTCCAGGAACCATTAAAGAGACACAAGAAAAACACATTCTCACATTTCACAATTGGTCACCTCAGTCTGTTTCTGAGAAATACCTCAAGGCCTTGCATGTTGGTGCATTACTCCAGATACCACACTATCATGAAGTTCTTCCTTCATCCTTAACCTTTCCAAAATTTGGGTTTTTCCCCTTTTGAAATATTCTAAAAAAATATAGTTAGTGGCATTTATTGTTGGCTACTCCCAAAGAAGAAGAAGTTATTTTCAGGATGCCCTGCAGGGGTCCTCGTCCTCCTCCTCTTCCGCGTGCAGGCCCTGAAGGCGACGTCATTAGAAAACTTGGTAGGGGGTGGTGGTTTTTTTTTAAGTGGGTGTGATATCTACAAGGGTCGTCAGTCTGTCCGCGAGTCTGCACGGAGAGCCACAACCGAGGGAAACTCAAGGTGTGGATTATAACAAGTGGAGTACTGATGCGTCGGCTGTAGCTGGACTCCTGCGGGTTTAAAGGTAAGATATTCGCTGTCACAGCCGCTGTGAAACACGCACTAAGTTTGTTTCTTAAACTGTTCAGAGTGTGCTGCAGCAAACACCTTACCGCACGTGAGAGGACAGGAGGAGACGTGCCCAGACCGGTGATAAAAGTGAGAACGGGGAGTTTGATTTTGACATGATGGAGCCTCTCCTTTGATTCCCACTTTCCTGAGGTCTGTGCCAGTTAAAGTTGGAGCCTGACATTTAACAGTCAAAGTCCAATATATAAAATGTAAGATGTAAGACGTTTTTTTATTTGCTTTTTTAATGTTGATTTCTTTGTGAGTTTTGCTATTTGCAGTGGTAGGGATCTCCATGCTTTCATTGATCTGTATTTTATTGTAAGCTTTAAAAAGATGGTGTTTGGTTTGGGGAACTATGAATAGATCTCGTGTTCTGGCTGTCTGGTGGCACATGTATATGAATCATGATTGTGTTTTAGCTGATTGTTTTGATATAATGGAGTTTTGGACTACAGTATTTTTCATGTTGATAGAAGTAATGCAGCATTGATTCTGTCCTCAACTTTTATCCATTGTAGACAGGAGGGCATGTTGTTGATACTGTTCTTGGATGGACATTGCAGAGCAAGGCAAGGCGTGCTGCCTTGTTCTGTACCAGCTGGAGTTTGTTCAAGTCTTTTAGAGTAGCTTTTGCCCAAACTATATGACAGTAGTCCCGATGTGAGAGTACAATGTTGTTTATAACAATTTTTACCATTTTTGCTGCAGGGTATTTTGTCACCAAACCACTGCCAATGTCTGACCCATTTTATGCACAGCAGTGTAGCAGCAAGACACCCCTGTGTGTGAAACTCCCACATTCCTAGCAGGAAAGGTTCCTGGTCCCAGGACACAGGATCATATAAATCTTTCCAGACTTGTACTTTCAGGTTAGCTAACTGACCCAACCGGAGGTTGACCTAAATCTCTGGCTCTTCACAATCAGTCAATTAGGTGAACAGAGACAGAGTTATATTACCTTTCAAACTGACTCCCATTGCTGACCATCTAAATAATCATTAACGCCTCAACTGAGGTCTCCCATTTGAGATTTACTGTCTTAAAGTGTGTGAACACACAGAATCCAAGGTCAGAGGAGCAAGACGCTGACCTCCAGACCTCTGTCATAAGATCTTGCCAACCATGTACTGATTCCTCACTGACATGAACTGCATTCCTTTGGAGAAAGAATAGTAAGGACTGATAATGATGTCTGGCACAATGTACTAATCTATCTAATCCTGAAATTTGAGATAAAATGAAACGTGCCCTGTTTTGCTACGTGCTCCAGAAGCCGAGCTGTCTTTCTGGCAAAATGAATCTGTTATTCTTTAGTTTCTTTAGACCGAAAGCATTTTAAGCTGTACACAGGAGACAGGATGAGATCTGAAGAGCAGCCTGAGCGTCTTTTAATGTACAGATGTAGAAATCAGTACAGATGACAAACAGAGTCTTGACCAAACCAGAGGAGAGCACAACCCCAGGCTTTTCTCCTACCCCCTTTTATGCTGCCAGGTGTGTATTTGAATACAATCATTGTGTATTAGTGTGTGTGTGTGTGTGTGTTCAATGTTTGAAGCAAGACCAGCAGGAGATCTCTCTGTGTTCATGCCAGATGTGTTTCCAAACAGGCCAGACAAAATCGGAAGCCCCAAAAAACGTGTGTTTGCGTGCGTGTGTGCATGCATGTATGTGAGTGTGTGCATGTGAGAGAGAGAGGGGAGGAGCCTGCAGGTCATGACCCAGCACTGACCTGGCCACAAAAGTAAACTATGTTCTTCAGCTCTCAGAAGTACATAGAGGTGGAAAAAATTAACAAAAACAAAAGTGAGCTGTTATGTCTGGAGGTGTTTATAAACCTGCTATCTGGCCTTTTGATCTCCGGGGGCCCCAACCCTGGCTCCCATGGAATCCAGGGGGAAAAAAAACACTGGGAACCATTTCTCAACAAGAACAGTTTTTTGACTCCCATCCCTAACAGCAGCCCTAGTGTGGAGTCATTTCTTCCAAATGATTCTGTGTCTCTTCTTTGGAATCAGTGGAGGTGTGCTGTTCTGTGCTTCAAAGCGGGCAAAGAAGCTGTTGTGGTTGTTTAGTAGAGAGATGTTGCAGTCAGACCTGTGGTGAGGGTTTGTAGTCCATGATGGTCTTAATGCCCTGTCACAGGCTTTGTGTGTCTCTGCTGTCTTTATAGAGTCCTGTTATTCTCTTCTGGTAGTCCTGTTCAGCTTTCTGGATGCCTCAGGATGGGTTGGCTCTTGCTTTTCTCAGGCCATCTGCATCTCCAGCGCTGGGGTAGGAGAAGGCAGTGTTCTTGACCCTCAGCAGCCTGCTGACCTCTCCTGTCGCCCAAGGCTTCTGGTTAGCTCTGGTGATGATGGTCAGTGTGTGGGTTGTATCATCCATGCATTTTCTGATATAGGAAGTGACACTGTCTGTGTACTCTGTAGAAACTAACTAGATGCGAGCCTGTGTTTTTTGTTTTTTAATGAAAATTACATTTATTTCTTTTTATATATTCTTTTACTGCAATATGCAATATTGATTGATATTGATTATGTTATTTGTTATAGTTTATGTTAGTAACCAATATTGCTGCTGCTATACTAGAGGGTTGAATGGTTCATGGCCCAGATGTTTGCACTCTAGTCTGCTATGCAAGGATGTTGGATAGTTTATGGCCCCAGTGGTTTGCACTCTAGCCTGCACTAAACCGCAATTTGGGCCCTGGGACGTGCGGCACTCAAGTGGCTGTCTTCTTTCCTCTTTAGAGGTGTTGTTCATGTAGCTGATCTGCTTTTCTTTTTTAAATGTCAACCCATTGTATGAGTTATGCTTAGCTTGTTATGACGCCATTGTACAACTGACAACATATGAGCCACCTGGGTATCAAGGAAATGTTCCCCGAAATCGTATATTGCTGACTGGAATGTTGACGTCACAAGAAGAAATAATACCTATGCTGAACAACCTGTATAAACATTGCCTGCAATTGTTGAAGGACGGAGAACTTCTGACTGATGTGCCTGCACTGTGTCTGTAACTTCTCTCTCATGCTGCGTGAATAAATGTGTTAAGATCTTTAGTTGGTTTGACCATTTATTAAACACTGCTGTCATCACTCCGAGCTGACCGGTCCTCTGCAACAAGAAAACCCAGCCTTCACTCTACCACAGCTCCTTAATCTGTATGGCTGTTGTTTGCGGCAGTCTTGAGGAGCAGAAGAAGCTTCCTCTGGCCACATACCAGCTTTAGGAAGGGTTTCCTGGTCTTCACCCTGGGCTTGTATGCTGGTCTGAGCATGATGGTGATGGTGATGTGGTCAGAGAGTCGGATGTGGGGGGAGGGAAGAGGCCATGTTCCTTTTTGTGTCAGAGGGGTTGTTTCATCTGGTTGGGAAATTAACATGCTGGTGTAAATGTGGGACACCAGGCAGTAAGGATGAGAAAGGTGCTTGGGTGGGCTGTATGCTCCTCACTGATGGCCTAAAACAGCTCACAAATGCCTCTTTTCTATTAGCGTTCTTAGCAGTGAGGAAAACGTAAACAGCGGTCAGCAGAATCGCTGTAAAGTCCCACAAAAGATATGAGTACAGCATTTGATGATCGTGTGCCATTCTATACTGACCTTAGTTTTCAACACCAGGGCTTTCCCTGTTATTTCACCACTTCAATATTGTTTGACTACTGTAAATAATTGAATTTCTCTGTTTTCATGCAGGGACACCTGCAACAAGACTTAGACAAGGATGGATTCTTGCGCATGGATGAACGGTTGGAGCCAGCAGGCTGGAACACCCTTGCAGTCCTTTCAACCCTCTGCTCTGCATACCCAAAAGACAATGAGGACTTATCAAATGGGGACAGTGAACACCTACTCTCAAGACAGGACATCATACACCAGAGCCCAGCCAATACAAAGTTTCCAACGAAGAACCAACTTGCAGACTTCAGCAGCTCATAATCAGGCTATGTCCTCCCCAGAGTCATCTGAATGGATTAGCAACCACAACTACAGGACAATAAACAGTGACCTTCAAAGAGGAAACCCTCATTCGATGACCAACACTTGGCAAGGTTTCCCTCAGAACTCATTTGAGAATCCATCGGCCCAAAGTCTGTCAAATATGAGGGCAGCAAACATGCCAAGTTATAGGAATCAGAGCAGCTCTGTCCAAAACGTCAATGCATCAGCAAACACTACAACTGCTACCTCCTTTCCATATGGACCAGTGGCTTACCCTAACACAGCAGTGTCTTCTGCTGCTCATGGCTTGAACCACAAACAAAACTGCATTCAGAACCAACGTCCTCCACCTAGTTATAACTCTGCTGTCTATCAGTCCATCAGAAACAACAATAATATGGCAAACTCATCACCAACTCAGCAAAGCCAAGCTAAAGTTGGCTGTGGCAATTGGCAACAAACCAGATGGTTATCTAGAACAAATGAGCTCCCTTTAGATTCCTCTAAAGAAACAAGACAGCAAGTGATCGCCAGAATCTCACAAAGTCTACAACAGTCTGTTGCTACCGAATTAAACAGTTGCCCTGCCTCATGTGCTGTTTCAAAATACAGCAGTAATCATTTGGTTGAAACAACAGAGTCCAATCGTAACATGCAGCCAGCTGGGAACAACAACTCATACCCACTCCAACCTTCACCTCCTAACTCTGGACAGTTTTTGAGAGCACAACACGGCTTGGGTGGATCTGTAACATATTGCAACTACAAAACAGCAGCAAATGGAGGTAGTGCAGCGAATACAGGTTTTCTTCCAAATGGGAATCAAGGTCCAACTTTAAATGATTTATCTCAGTCCACGAAGAATTCAGCTAAACCAGCAATGGATGGAGCAATGCCAAACAATGGCTCTGCTTATCAGTGTCCTGGTGGTGTAGGCCCCAGAGCTGTTGCTGTTGTGCAGCCATTGTCACAAAAAAGTCACCAGGATTCAAGAGAAGCCTTTCACAAACTTCTGAAATTAGTTGCAGGGGAAATAGGCAAGTCTGGAGAATTAAATAAAGGGCAGAGTCACAGAAAACCCGAAAAGACAAGTGAAACTGTATCTGACGAAACAAAAATCAGCGATTCTCCAGCGCTCATTGATTCTCTTTCTGATTTAGTTGGACACCAAACAAAGACACAAAATCAGCCATCAGAACCAGGACTGGCTGAAGAACCTCAGGTGGATGGAGCAGAAACAGCAGCCACTGCAGAAACAGCAGCATCCACTGCAGAAACAGCAGCCACTGCAGAAACAGCAGCATCCACTGCAGAAACAGCAGCATCCACTGTAGAAACAGCAGCATCCACTGTAGAAACAACAGCATCCACTGTAGAAACAGCAGCTGCTGCAGAAACAGCAGCATCCACTGCAGAAACAGCAGCATCCACTGTAGAAACAGCAGCTGCTGCAGAAACAACAGGTCTAAACGGTGATCAGGACAGAATTGTAAATGCAGCTGAACCAGTGAGGAGTTTGGTGGAGCTTTCTGCTGTACCGACCATCCAGTGCACACCTGAAATGTTGAGAAAAAAAATAACAGAGCTCAATAAAGGCTACTTGGACCACATTAAAACGTCCAACGTGAATAAAGTTTTGGGTACACTGTTAGATATGTTCTGGGCGAGTTATAAAGGAGCAAAAAGTTGGTACCCAAGTTTAATGACAGAGGTGAAAGATTTCTGCAGAAAACATCTAAATGAAGACGCTGTCATTTTGTCAGCAGTTGATGAAGCTGGTTTGGAGGCTCTTAAGGGCCACCATATTCTCAAACATGACGAAGTTTACACAGAACCACCCTACAAACCGTTTTGGCTGACTTACAGTGAGAAGCTAGACGACATTGAAAAAGAGTTTGGCTTGCCGTGGCCTCTAAGGCATCGCTCATGTACAGCGGAACGTGACATTGAGCTTGATCAGGCTGAGATAGCTGTCAGCTTCTCAGATCAGCTTATCAGTGAGTTGTCCAACACTATACTGTCCCAAACACAGGATAAGGTGTTTGAAGAATGCAGTGAAGAAAAAGGCTGGGCTGATGAAAGTGCGTCTTCATCAAATGAAGGAGAGAGTGTTGACCCTACTGACCCTTTTCGCTCACTGGAAATCAAAGTTTTGCCCAGAGAAGAGGCCCTACGTATCCATGAACAAGCTGCCATGAGTGATAGAACTCAACCAGAGAGAGTTATGAACAGCTCCAAGGAAGATGATGTGCAGGAGGTGATAAATGACACCATAAGTGACTTGACATTAGAGCGCCAATCAGCCAGTCCGATGGAGCAGATATGCCAGAGTGAGAGAAATCATGATAAAACCTCAGACAAGACCTTTGATGAGAAAGAGACAGGTGAGGCAAAGGCAAACGAAGTGTATGGGACGTCCTCAGACAGCGAGTTTACATCTGCAGAGGCTGAAAAACCAGACGAATATGGGGGAATCAACAACAATTGCACAGAAGTTATCACATATATTGAAACCATCTACACTCCTGAGGATGAACAAACAAACTGCATTGCTGATCTCATAAACACCAGTCGGTCAAGCAGCAAACTCTTAAGTGAAGATGAGGTGGCAGATGACATCCCCAAGCACATGCTGAACAGATCAGAGCTAAGTGGGAATAAAAGCAAAAATACCACAGCAGAAGGGGACATTGCTCAACTCTCTAGTCGTAATGGGGATGCACAGATTTCAGACCTGAAGACCTGTAGATTGGCTCAGCTGATGCAGAAAGATGATGGAAAGCAGTCATCAGAAACCAGAGAAGACACAACTCAAACTGAGATGACCTCCGCCCTCCAGACTGCTTTCACCCTTAGCCGAAATTCTGAAACCAACGAAAGAAAGCACAAAAGATTACAGAGGCATGATAAGTTTCTTCATCCCCACAAAAAGTCAAAGAAATCCCATGTGGACCATGTTGGATTTGAGGATGATTCAGGAAGTAGAAAGAAGAGTTTAGTTGACATGGAAGATAGTCAACCTTCAGCAGGAGGTGGGACTGCAAAGCTGGTTCTCTATGGCTCGGCACATGCCAAATCTGATCGGAATAACGTGAATAGAACATCTAAGCCTCCAGAAGTCCTCTCTGTGAGTCTCAGTCCTCTGTCAATGGATTTGAGTGAAGCTGTGCCTGCAGAGGAACCTTCAGCAAAACAGCGGATTTATGAAAAATGGAGCAAAACTTTGTATCCAACTGAAGTGGATTACAGAAGCAAATTGAAATCTCTTACAAAATCAGGGGCAAATTTGATGAAATCTGAGAGGAAGAGCAGTGTAAGGCAGCCGCTGACCTTTGAGAGAGGGAACAGTGTAAATACAGCCACCAAGAGGAGGAAACACAGGAAGGAACTGAGACACAGGAAGGAGACAACCACAACAGAAAGGAAGAGAAGAAGAGGTGGAGCCAAAGCAAGGTGTCCTGCTGATCAGCGGAAGAGTAAGGACAGGAACTACGCAGGTGAAACTCTGCGAGAGAGATTCTTCTGGATGTTCAGTATGTTACCCAGAAGCTTAAAGTTAAGCGATGGACCCAACAAGACGGAAAACATGAATGATCCTGCTAAGAGTAAGTCAATCCAGATAACCATGTTGACTGATTAAACTTGTGTGTGCAACAATCTTAGAGAGGATGATTTTTCAAACATTTGTATTGCATGTGTTTAGCTCTTTTTACCCACAGACCACTGATGTATGTTAACTTTAAAGCTAACTCTTGCTCAGCAGATGTGTTGTCCGTGGTCCCAGCAAAATTAATTCACAAACAAACTAACAATCATACTAGGAGGGAGGTAGTTGAATTGGTTGAGAAATTTGAACAAGAAGGAAGAAAAAGGAGAGAAGTTGTAGTGGAGATTTGTTGCGGAGAGGAAGTTGGAGTTGCAGTGGAAGTGGGTGTGTCAGCAGTGTCAAATCGGTCAAAGAGCAGGTTAAGTTCATCAGCTCTTTCCACATCACCCACCACTGGCTCTCTTTTCTTATAATTGCTGTGTCCAGAGATGGTACCGATTCCTCTTCACACCTCACAGATGTTGCTGTGTTTTTAATCCCTCTCTAACTTCTTTTTGTATGGAAACCTTCACTGAATTTTCTTAAAAACAAAAACACACGTTTTTAAAGCTGTTGTCTACATTTTATTTCATTTTATTTTATCTACCAACTGTGACTAATTACTTACGAATCTATTTCTTATCTTCAATTTTACATTTGTGTGTCTGTCACCATAGTATTTGTGCACATCTATGGTTTGTTTGTACATGCTGTGTATTTGCCTTTAATTCACTTTGCATGTTTGCTGTATTGTATGGACGTTTATGTTAATATTTGTTAAGCGTGCTCTCAGGTATATGTTTACTGTGAAGTTCAAGCTGTAAAGCTGATGGTGTAATGCAATGTAACCTCAGTTGTGATAACCTGGTAAAGAAGCTGAACATTAGTATCATACAAACTGATATACAGCATGTGTTTTACACAACAGAGATCAATTTTGCGTGTTTTATATTGATCTGCTATTATGTCCCATATACAATTATCTTACAATTATTAATCATATTCTTTTCATACATTTCTCATAATACACTGCATATGTTTCACTTAAAACCAGGGAAGGATGTACAGTATGATTAATTAGGGTTTCAGTAGTCATTATGTCAAAGTTATAACACATCATGTTGACAGAGCACAGTGATCTACAAGTGTGACCGGAGCTGAGACTTGGACTCTATGGAAGTTAAAACATTCATGGTTAAGACTAGGCTTAGATATCTGTGAGGTCAAGAAAACTTATTTGGGTTCTGCTCAGAACTGTTATGTTCTTGTGATTTCAAACAATGTGAGATGATATTTTCTCGGCTGATTTCCTAGACATCTTGTTTATAATGTGGGAAAAGAGACCCACACTTGTAATACACACGTATGATGTTCACAAACACATTCACCAGCACATGGAGTAAGGAAAAGTAGAGTTCAGGAGCTCCTCTGAAGACTCTGGTCTAGACTCTGATTGTTGAATGTTCTGATTTTGATAATGTTGCCCAGACTGCTCTTCAGAAATCATTCTGTCTCCTGAGCCTAGATTTGCTTCATCCTATATACATTATCCTCAACACAATACAATACAATACAACACAATAGGGAAATTTGCCGTAGAAATTCTGCACGGTTGAACAATTGTTGACCAGAGGTTATATTATGATATGCACGCTTAGAGGGACTTTAGGATGTTATTATTGGGGATGGTTTTCCTGGATTTTAGCCAAATGCCAATCACATCTCTGATTAATAACTTGTCTTGTTGTCAACAAAAAGTTATTGTCCAGATTTTCACTCAGAATTTTGGAGGTTTTGTCTAATTCGTATGAATTATTTTCTCCACAGGTACACGGACTAAATGAAATCTGGAGGAGAAGTGTTTTCCACTGGGTCACAAAAACCTGCAACATTCTCCAGGAATTTCAGGAGGAATATCAGATGGTCAGATGCAGATCTGGGTTACAGATTTAGCATGCCACAAGTGTCACCAAGACCTGAGACTAGACTTGAGAACCACTGCTCTAGGATGACATGACTGGCCAAAGAAAATCATCCTATCAAGGGCTGATGAACACTAGACAGAGAAGATGTCTTTATTTTCATGTGAGAAAGTCAACTTAAGATGGTTCTGATTGTTTTCAGCAAGTTCTATGTCAAACTATTATCCGTTTAACTATTAAATCAGTTTTGAAGTCTTAAACTGTATGTGCTTTTCTCTAAATTTTGAATACCTCATACAAAAACTTCACTTGATCTGTATGCAGCAGCTTTTATATCATCTCTGCATGTTTTTACATTTATATAAAGTACTTTTATATTTTTATATTTGCTTGTTCGACCTTTGTTTTTATAAGAGATGGTGTTTGTTTTGTTTTATGTTCTTTTAAAACTGCAGTATAATTCTCCTCTATCCGTGTTTTTAATGAACCCATGGGGCAGCTGTTTCTGTTACTTACTGTTTGTGCACATTTGATCCTTTCCTACATTTGATTTGTCTACATCTATTTTATACAGCGTTGTTAACAGACTGGTACTTTTTTATTAAAATGGCTCTGATGCTAAACCTTGACTTTTGTGACTCTTTTCAACAACACAAACAAACATACAAGCTTCCATGTTGTGTTTGACATGTTGTCGTACTGTATCTCGTCTGTCCGTGATATGTAGATGCAGCAGACTTCATGATGCTGGCTCGCTTGTATAATAGATATTTATTAAAAACAATGCCAGTATCAAGCAACCAACTTTGGCCTGTGACCTGTAGAGCACCAAAACAGCCGGACCATTTGGCCCAGGAATCATAAAAGAGACACAACGAACGCATACCAAAAGATTTCTCTGGGGAATCCAGGGAAACACCCCAAAGCAGCATAAACTTCACTGAACACTGAACTGATAACAGCACGAAGAAAATAAATAAGATTTGAAACCAAAAAACGCTACAAGATAAAGTTTAATTAGATGCTCTTTATCAAATTTGAAATTAGCGTCCTGATTAAAAACAGTAGTTCAGGGTCATGTTTCTCATTATGTGTCCTCAGCTCTTCTTTCAGCGTCGCTCTGTGAACCTTAGTGAACCCAGCAGAGTCTCTGGAGTCTGAAAGGGAAATGTTCCCTTACTTCCTGATAGAGGATTTCAGCTGCTCAGCAGTTCACGGTCTCCTCAGTCCTATTTATGGTGTCAAGATGCCCTAAATGTTTTCAATGGGGCAAAAGTCAGGACTGCAGGCAGGCCAGTTAGACCACCCTCATTTGACAGTAACAGTAACCTCAAACTGGGAGTTCAAAGTTCACAATTTGACCTATATGGAAATTGACGCTTGAGTCTGGATTTCGAGACACCATTATTTACATCGCCTCACCTGAATTTACTGCTAGAAGCACAAAATAACATAATTAGTATCATCCAATCGGCACTTTTTGAAAAGAAATAAGAAGCCTCAAGATCACGTGTGCAGATACTGTTGGAAAAAGACCTGTGTCTACATTTTAAAGTTTAAATGGAGTCTTTAGGTGAAAGTACGATAGAGTGGTAGACATTTGTAGAACTCCAATAATTGCTCTTTTTTTGGCTTGTCCCATTGACTTTAATGCAAAATTCAGTGAGCCGCAAAAATTCACATACAATAAGAAAAGTAATAGCACACCATAGCTGTTACATTATACATGGCCATCGGCACGTGAACATCAATTCAAAAACTCAACACACTCAGACAGAAATAAAACAAAAAGAGAGAAAACACACACCCATCAGTCTGCAGATCACTCCAATCAAACCTAATTTTTGCTTAGATTTTCACCCATGCCCAAGAAAACAAATATGTCCCTCGCTAATCTCTCCACTCCTCAAATTTAGCAAAGGCTTATTGATTTTATGAATCATACAAACTTTCTTTTTATCCTGAGAGGATGAAAAGAAATTATATTGTATATATTTCTATTTTGTATAGAGTACAGAGTCTTCTATAGAGTCCCTTATTCATTTGATCCCTTATTGATTTATAAAATCAATAAGCCTTTGCTAAATTTGAGGAGTGGAGAGATTAGCGAGGGACAATTTTGTTCACTTGGGCATGGGTAAAAATCTAAGAGTGATTTGCGGACTGATGGGTGTGTGTTTTCTCTCTTTTTGTTTTTATTTCTGTCTTAGTGTGTTGAGTTTTTGAATTGATGTTATGTCAGAATAATGTGTATAAATGTATATATAGGAGTTATCATCTTACTCAAATTCTTATGTAAGAGTTTGCTACAACTATGAACTGCTTTAACCTCTTGTTAGACATCACATGAGTGTTTCCTAACTTCTCTGACCTTGTTTCTCCTATCAGCAGGTGTGTGTGTGATGTAACATCCGCTGTGAAACGTGGGAAGTAATAAGGAGGATCCGCTCCTATCAGAAGGAGCTTGTTTAATGTCAACAATGTCGCCTTGACCCTCACATATTTTCTGTTGTTCATTATTATGTTTTATGAGAGTGCTTACGCTGCTGCAGATAGTTTCTCCCATCCTTTAGTATATGCAGCGTTGTGTAACCAGGGACAACCCTAAATAAAAAGAGACTGGACAGAAATACCTTCAGAATGGTTTTGAGATTTTAACTGAAACTATCTCTGTCCATTCTCCTTGCGAGTAAGAAATCTAATACCATTGTCTTTCTCTTCTTTATGTGTTTTCAGTCATTTGTTGCAGGTTTTAGACCCAACATGTTCACATGTATGTATAATGGCCATGTATAATGTAACAGCTATGGTGTGCTATTACTTTTCCTATTGTATGTGAATTTTTGCGGCTTACTGAATTTTGCATTAGAGTCAATGGGACAAGCCAAAAAAAAGCAATTATTAGAGTTTTTCAAATGTCTGCCGCTCTGACGTACTTTTACCTAAAGACTCCATTTAAACTTTAAAATATAGACACATGTCTTGTATATTGGAATATCAATCTACATTTCAATAGGTATTGTAGTTTTTGATCACTTCCTGTTCAATGATAACATAAATCTCAAGTAAATTGTCATTGGACCTGCCAACTTTAATCACCATAAATTAAATTAGCATACTCCATAGTTGCTTATTTCTTTATCCTGTACATCATTTTCTTTCATCTAATTACTAACCAGATCTCTCTGAATGTCCCTGAGCCCAGTCTCCTGGGTTCCTCTGGACTGATGCTATAGACGGTTGGCTGCTGTGGACCTGTGATTGTCCAGCTCACACTCCGAGTTCCTTTTCGTTTAGGTTCCTCTGGATTGTTGCTACAGACATGAACATCAGCCTCACTAACATTAATAACATAAAACTAGAGTTAACTACTATTAGGCCTGCTAACTGTAATCACATTAAATCAATTTAACATAGTCCATAATAATTTATATCCTGATCCTGTAAACTGAATTCATCATTACTTGCTCTGCAACCACAACTTTGTATGAGCTGCCATTGTTGTTGCTGTTAGGTTAACGTTGCTGCTGTCCCCTGTCTCTCTCTCTCACCCTCGCTCTCTATTCTCTTTCCCTCCCTCTCCCTTGCTCAATCTCCCTCTCTCCTTCCTTCTCCCTCGTTCTATTCTGACCCCCCCCCCCCCCCCCCCCGGCCTCTCTCTCTCCCTCCCTATCTCCTTGTATTTCTACCCAACTCAGCAGGGGCGAGGTGGCTAACTAACATGAGTCTGATCCTCCCCAAGGTTTCTGCCTGTTAAAAGGAAGTTTTTCCTTGCCACTGTCACTCGTTATTTGAGAGGGCCAAATCTGTCCCATCTTAGGTTGGGTCTTGATAATTCATCAAACAGTAAATGTGGTCAAGACTTGCTCTTTTTCTTTGGAAAGCATCTTGGGATGACAACTTTAGTGAATTGGCTCTATATAAAAAAATGTGACTGATTGATTTGAATGACCATGATCATTTTGGGAGAAATTTTGAGATTATAATATATGTGTACTGTGTGGAATGTTCGTGCCGGTCGGTGACATGACCGCCTTTGTATTTGATTTTCCCCACAAAAACTCAGTGAAAATTCACCCTGCTCTTTTAGGGAAATTTGGCACACCTGAGATCGCTGCTTCCAGCTGAGAGCTGTTGGTAATCAGCAGGGTTGGGAGGTTTTATAGGGAGTGGGCTAATGCCCGGTTCAGGGGGGGGTTTGTGTGTTGGGGGGGGGGGGGTCAACACCACCAGAGGCCCATTGCTCTACTCCAGGGGTGGGCAATCATGAAAATCACCTGGTGGAGTTTTTGGGTTAGAAAGCCTGCAGCCTCTCGGCCCTCCATGGCACATGATTGCCACCCCTGCTCTAGTCCTTCAGTGCTCTCTCTTTTTCCAACTATTTTATTATATTTTTTTCCCTATATTTCCCCACTTTTAAAAATCCCCACTATTTCTTTATCTCCCCCACTGGTTTCTCTGGGCTCTGACTGGCATACTAAGCATGATGCATTGTGTGTTCTGGGGCGTGATTACAAGCTGAGGTCCGGAAAGGACAAACTACCTACCACACTTGCGTTTTGCTTTGCCTTTGTGGGGAGCTGTGAGATAAACAGGGGGGATTCTCACAGACAAAAGCAAGCCCAAATAAGCAACTACTTGTAAAAAACAAGCCCCCAAAACAGCAACCAGCAACTCACGAGCTTTACAAGTGACTTCTGAGAAAAACAAGTCCAAAGTTGCTCATAGTAAGCATACTTGGCAACTTTGGATAGAGAGCAAATTGTTAATGTCACCTCTTTAAAAGGGGTATACTGAACAAATGACACCTACTACTTTATCTTCAAGAACAATCAAATAGTACAAACATATCAACTTCAGTTACTACTCCTAATACAATGGGGGTGTAGCAGAGACGACCACTTTCTCACCCCTAACACCCCCAAGTGAATGTAATGCTTTAACCTGATCACTGGAGACGTGATGGTGTGACCCTTTCACACCAAATCATGGTCTTTTTACAACCTCCTGTCTCTTTAGGAGATAACCAAAAGGTATCCTTCAAAAAGGGACGTTCTGTCAATTCATTTCAAAGAGACAGAACTGCAAGACCACCATACCGAATAAACATGGACTTTCTCACCTTGGCTGTTAAGTACCAGAGTTATCAGCTCAGCCCTGGAGGGGGGCAGGAAAGAGTATGCGCACTCAACCCAAAAATTTGTTAGGGGCACTCGTCCTTGAAACAAACCCCAGCCATAAATTATCAAAGTGGCTGATTTTTCCTGTGTTCTCTTTGGTTGCAGAGCAAAGAGAATAATTGCAAATGGTTCAGTTTCAGGTTTAATGGACACATCACAATGATTTTCTTCCTGTACACATCAGCAGTAAAATTAATTTGTCCCATTTGCCTAGCATGTGTTGGAAAAAGGGTGGTTTCCCTATCACCATTACTCTTACGTCTAATTTCCCAAACACAATTAAAAAAAAAGGTACTGACTGATTAACTCTCAGACTCCAATTCCCTGGTTACCTCTCACCCTTTTCCCGTGTGGTCGTTGATGTGAAGAAGAGAAAACAAGGATTCAGAAGAGTTCTTAGTTGAGGCTCTATTTTATTTATTACGAATGAGTCAAGAATGTGCAAACAAAGATCTTTGGACTCCAAATTAGCTCATCCTACGAAACAGACAGCTTAGAGGTCTGAGTGCTTCAGAGACATTTCTCTTGAACCCTTTATAGTTGAGGATCCATCTATCTAGACAAAGAGTTTGCTTCACTTGATGTTGTCTTCACTTTGGAACAACAAGGAAATATCTCCGTCCATCTTTCCTAAAACTGACAGGAAGTCTCTGTAGGAAGGCTGAGATTAGATCAACGTATTTCAGTAAGAAAAAAGAAGTTGGAGGCATAAAGGTGTTTTTTTGGCTGTAGCTGCAGGAGAGTTCACAGAGTCTTTGAAGTCCACACCTTACACAGCACTCAGGCCCATGAATTCGCGCAACGGTAACAACCTTATTTTAAGGTGGTCCCATATGCATGTGATATTATGCTCTCATACGGACTTAAGATACCATCATGTATGAGAAATTATGTACTCAGAGTTCAGGTGTGTATCTCCACACACAGCTGTGGGTCAGCCCGTAGTTCTCCTCTCTCACGCTCTCTGGCAGCTCAAACTGAGCCAGCGGTCTCAGGAGGCGTCGGATGTTGTGCTCCTCAAATTGAGCTCTTCCTGGATCTCCAATCAGGACTTCAGTGCCATGGGACTTGATGCAGTGGTCCAACCAGCTGTGCAGGCTGGTGGCGAGGGACTCATCATAGAACATATCACCCAGCAGGATCAGGTCGAAGGCGGCAAGCTGTGAGCCAATCATGTTGGCGGTGAGACACACAGGAGGCTGCAGGCCGTTCAGCTCGCTGTTCATGTGTGTTGCTATGGCTGCAACTGGAACAGAAACAATAGGGTTAAAACATGGCAGTGCACAGAGAGAGCGATCAAACCCCTGATTACATATGCTCTAAACTCTTGAAAACGCTCTGAAATTCAGGTGGCTGTCATGCATGGAGAACAACTGTAGCATCAAGATACCCCTGTGTGTGAAACCCCCACACTCTTCACAGGAAAGGTTCCTTATCTGGTCCCAGGACACAGGATGACATAAATCTTTCCAGACTTATTTGAACTTTCAGGTTACCCAACTGACCCAACCTCTGCCCCTTCACAATGGGTCAATTCAGTGAACAGAGACAGAGTTTTATTACCTTTCAAACTGACTCCATCGCTGACCATCTAAATAAACATGAACACCTCAATCCAGATCTCCTATTTCAGATTTACTGTCTTAAAGGTCAGCAGGACACTGATCTCCAGACCTCTGTCATAAAACCCTGCTCAACCATGTTCTGATAAAAACTGCATTCCTTTGGAGAAAGAATACAAATGACTGATAATGACATCTTATGCATTCAGCAATGTACTAATCTGTCTAATCATGAAATTTGTGTTAAAATGAGATGTGTCCCGTTTTCCTATGTGCTCCAGAAGCCGAGTTAGTTTCATTAGACCAACAGCTTTTCAGACTGTTTCATGAACTTTTAAGAGTTAAATTTATTGACCATGTATTATAACTTTACTCTAAGTAAGAGAAATAGTTGAGAAATTTGTGGTTTATAATTTAATTTCTTTAGTATGTTTAACCATTAGGTGGTTAAAATGTCATCAAATAATCTAGATGTGGGTATACAGAACCCGTTATTGATCATGATAACGTTTATTTACATACATTTACTCTTTTGTTGTTCCCAGTTACTGTGTTACTCTCTGTTTCCTTTCAGAGTAATTTAGCATGTTCAATGTGAGACTTATAACATAATAAGAATGTTTGATGTGATTCCACATTTTACATTCATTGATTCATTTGTAACATGTTTTGTATCAAATCATTTATTATGAACCAAGCATTCACTAACATTAACCATAGAGAGTGAGTATCAGATCTGACTCCTTTGCCAGCCAAAAGTATAAGTAAGTATAAGTATAAGTTACCAGTGGTTCTCAAGTCCAGTCTTTGAGGCCCTCCTGTCCTGCATGTTTTGGATGTTGCCCTGCTCCAACACACCTGATTCAAATGATCAGCTCTTTATCAAGCCATTACAGAGCTTGATAACGAGCTGATCATTTGAATCAGGTGTGTTGGAGCAGGGAAACATACACACCCACCCATGAGACACTTCCAGTTTGAAGAACAAAAGACTCGTACTCTTACACTTGGAGGCTTTTGTTCTTACTCTCTCTACATTCTTCTCCTCATCGGCCTATGTTAGTTTTTCATTCGTTGTTTTTCTCGTATTTTAACGCTGAACCTGTTCATCCCTTGTCTGGTTTATTGAAACAGATGTAAATATCTGAAAGGCTATGATGATAAAATTCCACTCTAAAGGTCCTTACATACCGGCGAATTTGCGGAGCGAAGCGAAAAAGCGAGACGAAAATTGCGAATATTCACCGGTCCGAAAAATCGCTTTCGCCTATACACACCGGCCGCGAAGCGAATATGCGTATATTTTTTGCAAAGCGAATTAATAAAGTCGTTTTGCGGCACGGAGGAGAGGAGATGCGAGGTGGAAGACAAGAGAGTGTCATCTTGTGAGGAAACTACTTCATTAGTAATTAGAAAGAGTTTTGGATGCACCTCAGCTGCCTTTCTCTGCGTATTCATAATCTCAAACTTCTCCCTCTCCTCCAGCCGTATGGGTCTGTGACGTCATCAACAACATGACTTTTGATTGGCCAGAGGTCTAGCAGGTCCAGATATTCGCCTGCGAATATCCGAAAATTCGACACAGGAGCGAAAAAATAAAAGCGGCTTTTCGCCCCGCGGAAAAATCGCCGCCGGTGTGGAAGCTTGCATTGACTTTAAGCTGTTTTAAAAAAAGGCGAAAAATTCGCCTGGCGAATTCTCGCCCGGTGTGTAAGGACCTTAAGTGTCAAAGCAGAATGAATCAGCATGGATGTGAACCTGAGTCGATGTCGTTAGCCACTACATGAGAAGCACCGCTGAGAGCTGCAGCGATGGCCGAGGCTCCATTACCGCTCCCCAAATCCAGAACCGTCCGACCTCGACACACAACAGGGTTATCCAGGAGAAACCTGCACAAAGAATTGGAACCAGAAGAGCATTATCCATCAACGGGGGGAACATTTAAACGTAATGGTACTCTCATACCTGTCCATTGTTGTGTGTTTTTTAAGTCTAGACCCAGATTGGGGCCAGATGCAGATCAGGTCTAGCCTCTGGAGAGTAAAACAGTATAATTTTTAAATTCTAACTGTGTCTGTCAGTCTTAGTTGAACTTCTTAAGTCTTCTACATATGTTCATATCACATCATACACTTCTTGTACGAGGAGGAAAACATCTCTCTGCCCTTCTTTTGCTTATTTTCCTTCTTGTCAGAATGTTCTTAGTGGTGAGAACATAATGGTGTCTTGAAAAGTACACTTTGTCACTGTTGTCTGTCTGTGATTTATGGCTGTTAGAAAAAACTTTTTTTTTTTTTTAACTTTCTTTTAGTGATACAGAACAACAAAAACAAAACAACAAAAATTCTTAGATGCAGAGGTGCAAAAATGAACCACATAAAGACAGAATCAAGCTGGCAGCCTCTTGCGGGATTTTGAAAAGTACACTGTGTCACTGTTGTCTGTCTGTGATTTATGGCTGTTAGAAAAAACTTTTTTTTTTTTTTTACTTTCTTTTAGTGATACAGAACAACAAAAACAAAACAAAACAACAAAAATTCTTAGATGCAGAGGTGCAAAAATGAACCACATAAAGACAGAATCAAGCTGGCAGCCTCTTGCGGGATTTTATTTTAGTTACAGCATCAAACACAACTCATGACAATCTTGATAAATAAACGAACTGAACCGGACCGACAGACGGACAGTACAAGCCCCCAAAATCCCTAGAACTGTCCCTTCGTTGCCTTTTTATACCACCCCGATGTCGTCATTAGTGTTATTCCCGTAAGGGGCTTTCATGTTGGTGTCTGATAGCCAAAAACGTGACTTCTTCTGTAAACATGTTTTTACTGGCCGGCTCTACCAAATTTCCCCCCAGGACTGGATAACAATTATTCTTGTGCGGAAATTTCCTGATGACCTGGACTCTCTCTGGCTGCATCCTGTTTTAATCGTGTTTTGCAATAACTTTGCTCAAAAACATGTCTATTATTCGTGCGTGTCTCTCTTTTTTATTTCACACAGATCCAGATCCTCAACCAAACCACAATCCTGGATTTCCTGTCCTGCAGCCCAAGCTTCAGCCTCCACAGCCCCATATCCATACTGACCCTCTAACTCTACAACATACTGACCGACTTATCTGCCAGTTCCTGCCTGTAAGCCCACCTCAGGATCAGATTTAGTTCCAGCCTCTAATTGATCAGCTCCAAACTCGACATACTAAGCCCCCTTGGGACCAGCAACAGTCACAGAATGCAACACCACCTGAGGCTATCAGCATTTATACCTTGATGTTGGAATTGCTCACCATCATAAGTAAGAAGTTAGCCGCCATATGTGGTCAATTTTTTCTGAAAATTTTCTTTGGGTGTGACCAAGTAACTTACAAATAAAGATCATAAACTAATGGAAAAAAATAAGGTGTGTTGTGTAGTTTTTAAAGAAATAGTAGAAATTGTTAAAACCCTTATCAATTTGGATGAAAGTGAAGAAATAAAGGGTCTTCATCAAGTCGAAGAAGAAATGAATCAAAATGTAAACTATACAGCCTTGGTGCCAAACAATCCTTTAGAACATTCAGCAGCAGAAGACTAGGCAGAAACAGAAACAGTGGTCTGTAACAGATTCTTTGATCTTTTGTCAGGTTCAGGACATATTAAACATAATCGGAGTGAAGTCACAAACTCAGACCAGACCGCAACTGCCTTTTTCTTGCGCACAAGGGTAAGAGCAGATTGAGGAGAACTTTCCATGTCTTGGTCAGACTCTCTTCTCAGAGATGCTCTGGCAAATGCTGTATGGCAACAGCATTTATACATGTGAGTGTTTTATAGGTGTGGCTGGGTATGTGCTTGAACAGAAATGTGAAACAAAACAGGAACTGGGCGCTTTCCAGTACATGCTTCCTCAATTACTCATTACTGATTCCCTAACAGTTCATTTCGCAAGATGCACAGTGGAAAAACACTGAGACATGAGATACACTCTTTGTAAGCTTAATTTCTTCGAGAGATTAAAATGACACATTTTAACAGTCAAGTAAAACTGAGCAAACATTTTAAAGTGTTCTAGTAATATGCAGCAAATCAATGCACAGGAGACAGGATGAGATCTGAAGAGCAGCCTGGTCCTCTCAATTGTACAGATGTAGAAATCAGTACAGTTGACACAGAATCTAGATCAAAACCCAGAGGAAGCCCCAAGCTCTCCTCTCACTCGCTTTTATGCTACTGAGTGTGTGTGTGAACATAATAGGTGTGAGTTGCATTGTGTGTCACAAATGTGCATCTCTCTAGTGTGTGAGTTACAGGTGTGAGAGATGTGATTTGCAAGAAACCCTGAGTGGTTGTCTAAGGACATGTCTCATTTCAGGATTGACCAATAATCGGCATGGCTGATAATATCGGCCGATATTCGGCATTTTTACAACAATCAGCATCGGATGTTTTTTCCACTAATAGCTGATGAGATCATTTCATTTTGAAACGTGCTTGTAGGGCTTTTACACAGATGCTTCTCTCTGCCTGAAGTCAGCACTCTTGGTAGTGTAACAATGTCCCGCCTACAGTCCCCACTGATTGGCTACACAGACAGACAATCAACACTCTAGTTGCAGCTCCACAGCTAGAGAGAGAGAGAGAGAGACAGAGAGAGAGAGAGGAGGGTGCTCCGTGAAGCAGTGGTTTGGTGGATGCAGGTCAGGCTACAGAAAAACGGAGTCTGGTGGCACATGCATGAATCCGCTATATTGATTTTTAATGTGGCGTCAACAACAATACTGCTCAGATGAGTTAATGTAGGAAGCAAATCTCATTCGACCCACTGGGTACATACAGGCTAAAAAATAGAATTGTGCAAATTATTTACACATAAAAAAGAAAAATGACACCAAAATAAATTTTTTTTCTGCACATGAATATCGGTTCTTAATATCGGTTATCAGTTTCCTTGATTGCTAATAATCAGAATCGGCTCTAAAAAAAAAAAAGTATGACAGTGTGTGTGTGTGTGTATTCCATCATCATGGGTATATCATATCAATTCTCCAGAAGGCTACCCATGATGACATGTCTGTAGCCTGGCTGGGCCATCCTGTTCTGTGAATCACTTGCCGTTCCTTCAACTTTGCAAAGTCGGCAGAAATCGTTTATATCCAACGTCTTCTGCAGATATAAACGATTTCTGCTGACTTTGCAAAGTCAACAGCAGAATTAACGGCGTTCTGAATGACTGGCGCTTTGAAAAGTCCCGCAGCATGTGTTAGACCTCACCATCTACACATGGACCAATCAGGGGCTGCCTTTCCCTGTTGTCCGGGTAACAGTGGAAACACGGTCTCTGATTGGCCCTGTTATTTTCTGATCGGGAATACACGCTCCCAACGGGCCGAAGTCCAGACTGTTGTGGGAAGGATGGCGCAGCCAGGCTAGAGACATGTCTGACCCTCAACACTTTGTTTCGACTAGTCTTAACTCTCGCAGAGATTAAATGTTCCGACAGACAGAAAGTTTTGGTCCCTGCAAGACAGCCTTGCTTACAACCTTGCTTACAAGGCTGCATAAGCAGGCTGACCTGGATTATTTATAACTCCTTACTAAAAGATAATTACTCTATATTTCTTAACCTAAATGTATGAAAAGTTTCTACTTCACAGCCCCCCCTTTGAAAGTTCTTACTTTCTGTAAGGATGCCTAGCCCAGGTTCACACTTGAAAGAATGGAAGGTCCACATGAAGGGTCAGTTTGACAAGCTTTACTGGTTGCAGATCTGGGTTACAGCTTCAACATGCCACAAGTGTAACAAAACATAACAAGATGTAACAAAGATTGGTCCGAGACTGTTCAAGTAAAGCTGACCACAACTCTAAACATACTGCTGACATTTAGTTGACCCTAAGAAAAATCTATGTACGGTAAGAACAAAGAACAAGATATTTTAAGGAGCTTTAGGTGAACATATGGAGGGTCCATAGAAGGAAATACCATGACAGAACATATTTTGGGGACCTGTGTGATGTAAAACATGGGTACAAGGGCCTTGTTGAGGATGGCTGTCAGAGGACCCCGGCTCCAGCAATCTAACACTGAAGTATCTGAGGTATTTGAGTGACACAGCTCCACCATTCTAAAGGCTGATATGACTGGTTAAAGAAACTCATCCTAACAGTTCAGGAGCTGAAACTGTACCACCACAGATGCTTCAGAACATATTTTCGGATGTCCGCTGGACAATTTGAAGTTCTGTTGAAACAATTAGCTCCAAGTTTGAAGAGGCAGAGGACTAGACACTAGACACGAGTGTTGAGATGGCTGTCTGTCATGATAGCATGTACTGAGTCGGGGCCAGTACCAGATAAGCACATTAAACTATGGTAACAACCGTTAGCTTACGTTAGCACAGATGAAAGTCAAAACAAAGACGTTTAACAAACTGTTAAAGCACACAAACCATAAGTTGTCCTTCAGGTCGTTATCTCTGTAATGTTTGTGTCTTTTATCAAAAAGCACTCTGTTCTCCGACACGTAAACAATCAGCTAGTCGGCCATGTTGGATATACCGGTGAATCAGACGTTGCAACAACACGCAATCTGATTGGTCAGAAGTGGACACACAGAATGCGAAACTTTAGAAAAATCGACCATGATCTGAAAAAATAAATGCCACAATATCGCAGAACGGGAAAACTTTGCTGATGTGAACGCTTGTATTGACAGGATATGGGTTTGAAAAAAAATATTGACGTACGAAATACTCGCACGACAAAAACGGTCCCGGCGTGAAAAGACCTGTAATAATACCACGACATGTGACACATTGGATATGACAGGAAACAAAAAATCAAAATGCATTAACCAGATATGGGAGAAATGGACATCATTGGCAGTTCTCTCCCAGCATCTGCGGTGCTGTTCTGATACTGCTGTTGTCTTTGTAATAAATTTCTATTATACAAGCAAGCCAATGTCACAAAAGCCTCTTTCTGTATCTACACATCACGGACAGACGAGGCACACCAACCTCTCAGTTGTTTTCACAACCAATCCTCCAAACTATCTCAGCCTATTATAAATCACTAATGTCAATTATTACTACTAACAAAAGCTGCACCAAAGTCTCAGCTATATATTTTGTATTCATGTTATTTTATTTTTTAGTGATCGCTTCAGTTCAACTTCATATCGACTCTGGCGCTCCATGGCCTAACCAAGTGACACAATGAAAAGTTTCACTTCCATTGTGGCTTTATTTTTTTTGCATCTTTTTATTTTCGCAGTAAGTAACTTTCTTTATTGCACCGCCACTTTTTATGTGTTGTGTTGTTGTTTTTTTGTCGCTTTTAAAAAAAATTCTTATCTGTTCTGTTTCTTTTTTATTTTCAGCGGGCTTCCGTTTCTTTTTGTTGCATCGGTAACTTTCGTTGTGACTTTTTTTTTTTTTGCAGTTTTTTTATTTGCAGCAGTAGCGGTTCTCGGCCACCGTAGAAAATGTAATAAATGCTGCTGTAGCATTATCTAATGACCCCCCACCCCACCAGTGAAGAAGCCTGGACACGCCCCTGCTCAGACAATGTGGTGATGTCTCCACCTGTCTGATGAATTTACCATAATTTTACGGTAAACTATCCCTGTGCAGAGTCAGGATCTTACCGTGACAGCGCCTGTCCTCCCGGCCAGTAAATGGCCCAGTACGGGTCACTGTAGGGCCACAGCTCGGGTCTCTGAGTCCAGAATTTGCAGCTTGGAGTGAAGAGTCTGAGTCTGAACTCCGGAGTCAGGCTCTGCTGTCCAACTATCTCCGTGTTTTCACTGATAAACCTGCGGATCGAGTCCTCAGACTGACACATGTACCTGTGGCTCTGTCTTAGAAGAACCGTTTTGATTGAAGTGATCCGTTTAGAGGTCGAGACCAGACCCCACATGACCGAGGGGACAGACTGAAGCTCTTCAGAGCAGCTTTATTTTCCTCTCTTCAGCTGTCCGGTTATTTTTTAAGATAATTATGAGATTATTAGGAGTTATATCATACGTTTAAAACCCCCGTTTGACTAAGCTCCTGATGGTCCGTGGTTGTTTCTACACGAGCGAAAAACAGTGTCGGACAAAATTTCGGACGACCGCCTCTTCTTCTCCTTTTTGGTTTCGGCAGACTAGACGCAGTCTATGGTGCTTATATTCTATTGGAGTGCAGGTACTGCAGCAGCTTCTTCTTGAAACTCATGATCATTACTTTATCATTTCCTTTAAGTAATAATCATTATATTAATTATTTTGTACTGCAGACACGGTGGTTCTTCTGCCTTAGCATCTCAGTCTGACTGCATTTCCATGAAGAAATGATCATAAATGTTCTTCCTTGAACTGCGTCACCCTGCTGCAGTCTATAATGGACTGGCCCGAGGTCTCGCTGCAAACAAGCGGCTGCTGGAAGAGAGTGGATGAGTTGTGTTTAGTCTCTTTGCTAAAGATATTAGGCAAAGTTAAAAAGATGTTTGTAGGTGTTCACTTCTTATTTTAGTATGTTAAAGTCATCCAAACTTATTTGCGTCACATACTCCGTGCTTTTGACTGAGTTCCCACTGAGCAGACTTGGTATGCAAACCCTCCTCTACACCTACACCTCCTCCTAGGACAGTGTGGTGTTCCTCCCTCATCCTATTCACATCTCTGAGTTACACCTGCACATCTGTTATGAAAGGCACATCATTATCTAAGGCATATGTCAAGGTCATAGACATGTGATGATTATTAGGAACACTTCTAATAAATGACTGTTAAGGCATCATAGCAGATTAACAGTTTAAAACAATACTTCCCAACACTTGGCACTTCTAGGCATAAACTAAAATCTTTCTTTACCGAGAGTCTCTCTTCTATACATTGTGACACAGTGATCAATTGCCCCCGTGTTAGCTTTAAACTTTCTATCTGACTCATCAGTACATGTCCGCAGTGGGCTCACAACATAATGTAAACATAATAAGAAAACAGTTAATCACCTGAAACAATGACTTAATGATTGGCATGACACATTAGTTCCCACAAGTACCAACCCTTTTTCTTCATGTAAGTTCTAAACCCCTTCTTTCTAATGGTGTCTGGGAAGGCTGATGAGGTAAAGCCCCTCCTCGATGAGCTTAGCCAACTGGTTATTGTTTTCTAATGCTGTCTTGGTAATGGTAAGTTCCTGTGACTGGGTCACATGTACATTTCTTGGAAACATACAGTCAACATGCTTTAGTCTTATAGCTGCTCTTGTCGTGAACATACATTGAACATTGTCCAGTCACACAAATACCTGTTGTGAAATTATCCAATAAGGATGTAGAATAATTTCACATGTTCCAAAAGTGATTCGAGGCCTCAGCACATCACATGACTTTAGATTAGCTTTTGCACAGCTTCTCCAAGAGAAGATACAGAACTTCAACAGAGAACAGAACAACAAAAAATGACTCCACATGTCCTTGAGAAACTGTGAAAGACCTCTCTGAGTTTAAGAAATACCAGGGCTGATTTTTCTCCAGCCCTGAATGGAATGAGACTGAACAGATCTGGTCAGAGCAGAGGGAGGGGGAGTTTTCAGAGTTATAAACCATGCCAGGGTGGGTCAGACTCAGGGAGTGTGAGTGTGAGTGTCTGAGCTCTACTATGTGTGTGTGCACGCAGCAGATTCTCCCCTGCAAACACTTCCAGTGTCACACAGTCTGAACCAGCAGGATGCAACTGTGTTTGAAGTCCCAGGGGAGATTTTGGAGCGAGGTTTCACTATCTGATCTGAACCCTTATTCATGCAGCTTCACTCCTACACAGTGTGTTTAAAAGTATGTGTACATGTGTATGTGTGTTTGTGACAGGGTGTCCAAGAATTTGAAGAATATTTGAAGCTCTTTTTAGAGAGGCCTCTCTGTTTTTATGTTTTATCACATAAAATTCATTGTATGAGTCACAGCAGCTTGTCTAAGGGCTGATCTAATCAAAGTCCTATTTTTCCAGTAGATGAAGCCTCATGAAGCTCTGGGGCTTTCTTTCAATTTGTGCCGAGCTCGTGAGCAAGAATTGGGCGGGAAGATTGGCATTGATGGAGGTCAGAAGGAGAAGAAAGGAGGAACAGAAAGAGAGGAAGAGACAGAGACAGAGAGAAAGAGGGGAAAAAGGCCCTTGCAGGAGATGCAACCACATGTGCAGAAATTGTTTTTAAGCAGGACACCATCAGGTGAGTCAGTGATCAACCAAAGGGAAACCTTTGCGAGAATCTGTGCACTTCAACATGCACACATGAAAGTTGTATTAATTAACATTCATGTCTTCACCTAAAAAGAAGGAGAAAAGGCAACAACCTCTGAACCTAAACCCCTGACACACAGGTAATTTTTTCACACCAAACTGCACTCGATGACTTCCTGACATCTGGAGATAACTGGAGAGCCCTCAAAGTTGTTAATCATTGGAACATTCAGCCCCAGAAACCAGACTCCAGTCAGATTGGATTAAGATGTTTGTCCTCGTGTTTAGGAAAGAGGAACAACAGCAGGCTGAATGCACATGTTTGATGGGCCTTATGATGATTTCTTGTCTTCACACAACATTTGCAGTAAAACGGCCTTCATCCTATACTTCTAGGCGGTTCAAAAGCACAGAAAGCATTGTCACACATTTAATCCAACTTTTTCAGAGATCAACAGCTCCTCCTAGTGGCATCTTTTTTGGGTTCATTGTCAACTGAAATGTTTCCTTAGGATGGGGAACTGTTTTTGTATATGACCTAATCTTGCCAGAGGCCTGGACCTCATGCAGAACTGCTCCAAGAGTCCTCTTGAGAATCATCATCAAACAAGTAGGCAAACCAATCAATCTCCTAAGAACAAAAGGGTTCAGAGTTTGTAGAAATTGTTGACTGGACTTTTTACCCAAAAAGAGCCAAATTCTTACCCAAAGCTATCTGCAGACCGCTGTTAACACTGGTTATTATAATATGTTCATTTACTATCATTAACCTCAATAATTATGACTCACCTCAAAATGTTCATGTATCCATTCACAGAATTGTGTATCAATTATCATTATTTTCTCATTATTTATTGCATCTGCGTATAAACATAAGCATTCTCTCATAAATTCACCATTTATTTAAAGTTTTTGTCTTTTTAGTTTTCCTGCAGAAGTTGGTGTCCCTGAAATCACAACTCTAATTCTAGATATTTAGATATGAGACTGATCTAATATTGATTTAATGTCTAATAATTGAACTGCCCTCTGGATTAATAAAAAATACTGCAAAGGCCGAGTCTTTTAAAAGCTGGGTCCTTGAAAAGCCAGTAAAAGAAAAATTGTATGTGTATGTTATCATCATTTACTGAAAATCACTTTGTGTGAATGCTTGTAAGATTATCTCTGCTTCTTTTAGACAATGACTATGTGAAAAGAGATGTGAGGATGTTGAGGCATTTACAATGCTGTGACCTTTAAGTTATGGCTGTTGTTAACTAACATTTGTATTTTTTTACTGAACTCATAACTCACTGTCTGAACTCTGTTCACTTCAGCAACTTAATAAATGTTTTCATTTAACTTACAGGTTGTTTTCAGAACAGTGTGACTTTTGACTTGATAAGCAGGAACCCGCTGAACCGCGAGGCTCTCTGTGATCTGCCGGTATCGACCACAAATTCAACCTTTGCCATACTTGGTTATTGTTTTACTGCTTACCACTTTGTTTTAAGGTGTTGACTCCTTCAAAGTAAAAGATTTAAAGACAAAGACTACACTCTCTGTTGTCCTTCTCAGCTGACTGCAAGTAGAATTTTTCTGACAGCTAAGAAATTAAAAACTGGGTCCTCAAAAGACATTGTGTCTCTTTTGTGGTACCTGGCCCAGATAATGCAGCTATTGGGGCCTTTGCAGGTCACAAGTCACACTTCAGAGCTAGTTGTAAATCAGATGGTAAGGAAAGATAACTTCGAGATAAAGAGATGATGTGGGCAGGCCTAAACCTCTAAACCCCATATAACAGGAGCATAAATTCAGGTTTGGGAGAAATGGACATCATTGGCAGTTCTCTCCCAGCATCTGCGGTGCTGTTCTGATACTGCTGCTGTCTTTGTAATAAATTTCTATTATACAAGCAAGCCAATGTCACAAAAGCCTCTTTCTGTATCTACACATCACGGACAGACGAGGCACACCAACCTCTCAGTTGTTTTCACAACCAATCCTCCAAACTATCTCAGCCTATTGTAAATCACTAATGTCAATAGTTACTACTAACAAAAGCTGCACTGTAAGCTTAAAAGAAACAAATACATAATGACACAGTTTTTATAAGGTGAGGAATACAGCATTTCATTTTCACCACAGAAAGAAGAGGAGAGGAGAGGAGAGGGAAAGATGTAGGTTGCATATGTTATTGAGTGTTCGTTGTAGGTGAGACCAGGGCTTGTTGTCACACTTTTTACACTCATATATTTCTTGTAATAAATACACCAAATATAAACAAAATGTGTACCAGATGAAAGACCAAAGTCTCAGCTATATATTTTGTATTCATGTTATTTTATTTTTTAGTGATCGCTTTAGTTCAACTTCATATCGACTCTGGCGCTCCATGGCCTAACCAAGTGACACAATGAAAAGTTTCACTTCCATTGTGGCTTTATTTTTTTTGCATCTTTTTATTTTCGCAGTAAGTAACTTTCTTTATTGCATCGCCACTTTTTATGTGTTGTGTTGTCGCTTTAAAAAAAAATTCTTATCTGTTCTGTTTCTTTTTTATTTTCAGCGGGCTTCCGTTTCTTTTTGTTGCATCGGTAACTTTCGTTGTGACTTTTTTTTTTTTGCAGTTTTTTTATTTGCAGCAGTAGCGGTTTTCAGCCACCGTAGAAAATGTAATAAATGCTGCACACACATTATCTAATGACCCCCCACCCCACCAGTGAAGAAGCCTGGACACGCCCCTGCTCAGACAATGTGGTGATGTCTCCACCTGTCTGATGAATTTACCATAATTTTACGGTAAACTATCCCTGTGCAGAGTCAGGATCTTACCGTGACAGCGCCTGTCCTCCCGGCCAGTAAATGGCCCAGTACGGGTCACTGTAGGGCCACAGCTCGGGTCTCTGAGTCCAGAATTTGCAGCTTGGAGTGAAGAGTCTGAGTCTGAACTCCGGAGTCAGGCTCTGCTGTCCAACTATCTCCGTGTTTTCACTGATAAACCTGCGGATCGAGTCCTCAGACTGACACATGTACCTGTGGCTCTGTCTTAGAAGAACCGTTTTGATTGAAGTGATCCGTTTAGAGGTCGAGACCAGACCCCACATGACCGAGGGGACAGACTGAAGCTCTTCAGAGCCGCTTTATTTTCCTCTCTTCAGCTGTCCGGTTATTTTTTAAGATAATTATGAGATTATTAGGAGTTATATCATAAGTTTAAAACCCCCGTTTGACTAAGCTCCTGATGGTCCGTGGTTGTTTCTACACGAGCGAAAAACAGTGTCGGACAAAATTTCGAACGACCGCCTTCTTCTTCTTCTTCTTCTTCTTCTAGTTTAACGGCAGTTGGCACTCTTGTGTACGGTGCATTACCGCCCTCTTCTGGCAATTCTTATGCAAAACCCCTGTGCACCACCCTTTCCCATCTCATTCACTCACACTTTCATACTCCTACTGACTAAATCCTATCAATCAACCCCGTCACCCTTAAAAACTCGACTAACACTCTCACATGTGCCCTGTCCCCCATCTGTAATACTCCCTTTAGTGTAAGGTCCTGCATACCCAATTCCCTCAACTTACTTCTCATCTCTCCCCTTTCCATCTCATATCTCCTACAACCCATTAGTACATGCTCCACTGACTCCTCCACCTGACATCCCTCACATAACCCAGTCTGGTGTTTCCCTATCATTTTCAGTGTTTTGTTTAATGCGCAATGACCCAACCTCAACCTTATCAATGCTGACCCTTCCTTTCTCTGTCCACTACCCAACCTCCTAACTTTAACACTTTCTTGAATCTTATAAAGATGCCTTCCTCTCTTCTCACCCTCCCATTTCTTCTGCCACATTTGAATAAGCTTTTCCCATATCATACTCTTAACTTCCGCTTTACTTAACCTAACATTCAGCTCCACTGATTCCTTCCCTAACGCCTCCTTAGCCATCACGTCTGCCTTCTCATTTCCTTCCACCCCTATATGTGCTGGAACCCATAAAAAACTGATCTGACCCCCCTGCTGTACTATTCTTGTTACTGACTGTAATATTTCATATAATAAACCCTGACGGCTGCTTGAATGGAATGATCTAATGCTAGCTAAAACTGATGCTGAATCCGTGCATATAACTACCCTCTTTACTCTAACTTTTTCCACCCATTTCAGTGCAATCATCACCCCCAACATCTCCACTGTGTTTACCGCTAGACCGTCTGATGTCCTTCTATTGATTTCAATTCCTCTCGATGGCACCACTACCCCTAATCCTGTCACCCCCGTCTCAGGTTGTTTTGCCCCATCCGTGTATACCTGAACAAATCCGCTATATTCTTCCCTCAGGCGCTGATTAACTACGCTGACCAAGCTTACCTGTCCTCCCTCTTTCCTTTTCTTTCCCATTACACTCCAATCCACTGTTGGCCATATCATTTTCCATGGTGGCATTGCTGGATACACTATTGTTAGGTCTACCTCCATCTCCCCCACCCCAAGCTCTGCTGTTATTCTATTCCCCATCCTACCAAAATGCTCCCTCTTACCTTTCCCCTCCTCCCAACACTCCTCTATCACTCCTTTTGTGGGGTGGGTACCACTGCTGCCCTTTAAACTAACCCAGTAGTTTGCTATGAGATGTTTGCGCCTCAGGCATAGCGGCATCTCACCCAACTCCACCTGTACTGCAGGCACTGGTGACGTCCGGAAGGCCCCACTACAGATCCTTAATGCACTTGTCTGGATCGTATCTAGCTTTCCTAAAAGGGACTTTGCTGCTGATCCATAAACTATACACCCATAATCTATAACTGACCTAATCATAGCTACATATACTGTTTTTAATGCATCACAGCTCGCCCCCCATTCTCTGCCTGCAAGACACCTCATCACATTCAACACTTTCCTGCACTTACCCTCTACCCGCTTGATATGATCTGCCCAGGTTAACCTCTTATCAAATACCACCCCCAAATACTTAAATGCCTCAACCCTCTCCAGTTGCCTACCATACATACTCAATGACACATCTACTCCCACCCTCTTCCCGGTAAAAATTATAGTTTGAGTCTTCTCTACTGAAAACCTACACCCCCAATCTAATCCCCACTCTGTCACCCCATCAATCGCTGTCTGCACCTTAGTGACTAAATGTTTGGTGTTCCTCCCTCTCTTCCACAGTGCTCCGTCATCTGCGAACAGTGAGCTTCCTATATCTGCTGGTACCTCTGAAAAAACATCATTAATCATGATAAGAAACAATAGTGGGCTAACTACGCTCCCCTGGGGAGTGCCGTTCCTTACTTCATATTTACTAGATATCTCTGTCCCTATTCTAACTTGAATCTTCCTATCATTCAAAAAGTCCTTTACCCAATTAAAAACTCTGCCCCCAATCCCCATCCCCTGCAACTTAATCAGTAATCCTTCCTTCCACATCATGTCATATGCCTTCTCTATATCAAAAAACACTACCACTACAGATTCCTTATTTGCCTGCGCCTTCCTCACCTCACTTTCTAGTCTCACCACTGCGTCCATTGTGTTCCTACCTTTTCTAAATCCGCTTTGGCATCTCGCCAGCTTACCTCTCTTTTCAAGCACATATGTCAATCTCTCTGTTACCATTCTTTCCATAATTTTACAAATGTTCGAAGTCAAAGCTATTGGCCTGTAGCTAGAAGGAGAGCATGGGTCCTTACCTGGCTTCCTGATCGGTACTACCTCTGCTTCCTTCCATACACTCGGTAGCCTTCCCTCCTCCCATACCTTATTATACAATTCTAACATCCTGTTCATCCCCTTTTCCCCTAAATTTTTCAGCATTACATAGCTTACCTGATCTCCCCCTGGAGCTGTAGGCTTTGCCTTCCTAACCGCTCTCACAAGCTCTGCCATAGTAAATCTGGTGTCTATCTCCCCCCCTGAATCCGTCCTCCTGTCTAGAGCACCTGGATATCTACTCTGAGTCATCTCTCTTCTCCTCTTCCCCTCCATTGTCAGATTGTCTACACTATGCACCTTTGCAAATGCCCTGGCTATCATCTCAGCCTTTTCCTTATCATTTACTGCTGTCTCTCCTTCCTCTGTAATTACAGGATATTCCCACTCCCTCCTGTCCCCTCCCATCTTCCTTATCATACTCCATACTTCTCCTACTGGTGTTGTTCTCCCTATACCATTACAAAACTGTCTCCAACTCTCCCTCTTTGTGCGTCGAACTACTCTCCTCACCAATGCTTGTGCTCTCTGATATTCTAACAGACTTGCCATAGTATGGTTTTGTTTAATCTTTCTGAATGCTTTATTTCGGGCTTTCACTGCCTTGCTACACTCCTCTGACCACCATGGAACTAACTTCCTGGTCCTCCCATTTCTGCTCCTCGGAATAGCTTGAGTTGCTGCTGTGATTATTGCTGTTGTAACACTATTGTTGACTTCTTCCACATCCCTGTTTGTATCAACTACCTCCAGTAGACCCTCACTCACCTCCCTAAATTTATTCCACTCTGCTTTACTGTACACCCATTTCCGGAGCCCCCTACCCGCCCCCACCTCCACTCTTCCCCCTACTGTACACATGATTAAGTAATGATCACTACCTAGCGACTTTCCTGACAACACTTCCCATTTACTGACTCCTGCCAAATTTGCTGATACCAATGTAATATCTATAGCTGACTCATTTCCTGTTCTGACATCTATTCTAGTCCCTCTCCCATCATTTAAACATACTAATTCCCTCTCCTCCATTAGCTCCTCAACTACCCTACCATCTACATCTGTGTGTTTCCCACCCCACAAAGTGTTATGTGCATTAAAGTCTGCGCACCAGATAACCTTTCGTCTATCAACCCCTTTTATCCTAACTAACCTATCCAATATTAACCTCCCCCCTGGATTATAGTAGTTAACTATAACCACCGCCTCCCCTCCCTCCCACAACTCTACCACTATATATTCCTGCTCTTCCCCACTTTCTATCAACCTATAAGAAATACCCTGCCTAATAAATATTGCGCACCCTCCTCTTGCTTCTTCTTCACTCCTATCCCTCCTGATTGTCATATACCCACTAACCTTAAAATCTAAGCTAGGTTTCAAAAAAGTTTCCTGAACACAAACTACGTCTGGCTGTATCTTCATCTTCCTTATATAGTGTTTCATCTCCTGTCCATTAGCCATCAGGCTCCTAGCATTCCACTGCAGCACCCGAACCATGAACATGAGGTGACTTTCCTACCTCCTGGCTTCGACTCTGGTTCTTAATCTCCGCCTCTATCTCCTCCCACTTTAGTCCTTCCATCCCCAGATGATCAGCTGCTGCCTTCACAATATATTGTATATTGGTGGTCTTAGATGTAGACTTGCTTGTTGAGTTGATAGCTGCCACAATAAATACTATTAACTGCCTTTTGTCTATCCCTATCCTATCCTGATCTGACTGCTCTCTCCCCAACCCCCAAGTCCCCTTTCTTCCACCACCCCCTGTCTCCTCTACTCCCTGTGACCTTTCCTCCCTCTGTCTTACCATCTTTGCTGCCTCTGCATAACTTATCTTATCTAGCACCCTGATTTTCTGAACTTCTGCCTCCCTCTTCATAACTGGACAACCCCCAAACGTGACACTATGTTCCCCCCCACAGCTACAGCATCTTGGCTTGGTACCCTCCCCACATTTCCCATACTCATGGTCCCCAGTGCACCTCGCACATCTCCTGTCGAACGACCGCCTCTTCTTCTTCTCCTTTTTGGTTTCGGTAGACTAGACGCAGTCTATGGTGCTTATATTCTATTGGAGTGCAGGTACTGCAGCAGCTTCTTCTTGAAACTCATGATCATTACTTTATCATTTCCTTTAAGTAATAATCATTATATTAATTATTTTGTACTGCAGACACGGTGGTTCTTCTGCCTTAGCATCTCAGTCTGACTGCATTTCCATGAAGAAATGATCATAAATGTTCTTCCTTGAACTGCGTCACCCTGCTGCAGTCTATAATGGACTGGCCCGAGGTCTCGCTGCAAACAAGCGGCTGCTGGAAGAGAGTGGATGAGTTGTGTTTAGTCTCTTTGCTAAAGATATTAGGCAAAGTTAAAAAGATGTTTGTAGGTGTTCACTTCTTATTTTAGTATGTTAAAGTCATCCAAACTTCAGGGAGTCCGTTGATGGAGACCGGAACAGAGGATTCTATGAGGCAAAAAGGTGTGTTCAACCAACCTTTTATTTCGGCACAGCAAACAATACAAGATATCTTGGAAAGCACAACATTTATACACTTGAGGCATCTCATGATCTTTATGGGCGGAGAGTTTGCATAAACAGCAGCCCCCAGTGTTCTTTCACGGACAAACTACCTGATCTTAGCCGTTTGTAACCACTGGTTTCGGGGAAGTTGACCTTGGGTGCACACAGTGCCTGTCTCCTCTTTATCTTTATTTGCGTCACATACTCCGTGCTTTTGACTGAGTTCCCACTGAGCAGACTTGGTATGCAAACCCTCCTCTACACCTACACCTCCTCCTAGGACAGTGTGGTGTTCCTCCCTCATCCTGTTCACATCTCTGAGTTACACCTGCACATCTGTTATGGAAGGCACATCATTATCTAAGGCATATGTCAAGGTCATAGACATGTGATGATTATTAGGAACACTTCTAATAAATGACTGTTAAGGCATCATAGCAGATTAACAGTTTAAAACAATACTTCCCAACACTTGGCACTTCTAGGCATAAACTAAAATCTTTCTTTACTGAGAGTCTCTCTTCTATACATTGTGACACAGTGATCAATTGCCCCCGTGTTACCTTTAAACTTTCTAAAAAGTGCAGTTCATTTCTGCACTTTTGCACCGAGGTCATCTTCTAAATAATTGGCGAGCCAGCCAGGAGGGATCCAAGACATACAGCCCTCACTCGGTGAGGAGCCCCCACCTTTGTGAGAGCTCCCCCGCCCTTCTCTCCCCTAAAGTTCCGAGACCTGGCGAGCAGTTTTTGTTTTTTCTCTCTTCCTTTCCCTCAGCAAGCTGAATACTAAAAATATCATACCTGCAGTACAAATATATAAACATTTTGTGCATTTTAAAACACTTTTTTACAAATATATAAACATTGGGTAAACCTGTGACATAATTTAGCCAGAATTCGTTTCGGGGGACAAGGGACCATGGTTCTGCGAACTTCACATGGGATAAGGACACTCTGTGGCCACAAAAAGAAAAAGGTAGGAGATTTCCTAAAATTTGGTTGAGAGTTCTTTTCCCTGTGAGGTGGTGCGGACTACTGCTCTCTGTCCTCTTCGAATCAGTTGGTTGTGTCAGACCGCCTCACGCTGCTACATGCGTGAGACTATGTGAGAAGCTATAGGCTGGGTGCAGGAAAGCACTGGCCAGTAGCATGGGGAGACAGCTGGGCCTGGGTTGTGATGTGTTTTTTAGGCTGAATGCCTGGTGATAAAAGGTTCTGGGTAATTTTTGGGATAACAAGGGGAGTGGCAGGCACGAGTGTGTCTGTCCGTTGTTGAACTGTGAGTTTGGGCAATTTTTTGTTTTATGAGCTCTGACAGATACAGATTGGCTTGATGAGCAGGAGATAGAAAAAGAGGTCAATAAGGATAGGCCGAAAAGCCTATTCAGGGATCCCAATTGAACAAGCACGTCCCATATCTCCTGACCAAGTGCAGAAAAATCACACAAATTGGAAAAATTGAAGAAATCAAAACAAGAATTAAAATAGAAGACTGCTGACTGACTCCAGTGACTGACTTTGACTTCAAACACGTGTGAAAGGGTATACCATTGTGTGATGAAAAAGTGAAGTGTGTGGGTTGATTGGATGGTTGTGTGTGTCTGTTTTGTTCTGTGTCAACTAAGTTCTCTGGCAGTGTTCACAGTCAGACTCTGCACCTGTGTGTGTGTTATGCTAGTCAAAGATTGCTGTGTTTTCCTCAATTGTGTTTAGTTCATAGTTGTTTATGTAAATACTGTGCTCATTGCGGTCATGTTATCAGTTGAGACATAGAAGGTTAAATACTCCTGGGAAAGAGGTTCTGTTCCTAGTACCATGATGAACACTCCTGATATGAAGGTTTTAGCTTATGCTTAAATATTATGATGGGTTTTTGTTGTGAACACGTCTTATGCTACTTAACAAATTTTCTGTGTTAAAGCTGCTGAAAAAATGTTTGTGAAAGTATAAAAGATACAAAAAGGAAAAAAAGAAATGAGGTACCACAAGTGCAAAACTTCTAAAAAACTTCAAATCTAAGAGTTGCTTCTATACATCTGCTGTTTTTGCCAAAATACTGTGTTTTTAAAATATTATTGAAGCTGTTAATATCAATACTGACTATTGCTATAGAACTGCAGTTGAGGCAAAAGCTTTATACTGTGTATTTTTGGGGAATTTTACAAAACTGCTGATCAAGTTTTAATGTGTGTGCTCATTTGAATAATAAATTTTACAAAAAGCATGACCAGAAAGGGAAGATTAGATACACATTGGTAGGGTGTAAATATACTGAACACTTAAATGATATCCAAAAACTTACAAAGAAATGGGAACATTGAGACAAGGGGTTTGAATTTTTATGACCTAGGGGAGGCACATCTGATGTGGCTGTGTGTGAGGATTTGGAGCAGCGAATCTAAGACCATAAACATAAAGAAAAGTAAAACACGCAAAAACAAGAGATATGGAACTAAAAGTACCGGACGTGTTCAACTCAGCACTTAGATTTTTGTCATTTTTATACTTTAGAATCCAATTTTAGATTTTAAGTCATACTGGGACCTTTTTGAACCTGATTTCAACTTTCTTCTTGTGTATTTGCTCGTTAAAAGCATTACTTTTCTCTTTTTAAATCATGCGCTGATCTTTTGAACTAATAAATAAGAATAGAAGTAAAACTAAAAATTTTTCTAGCCTAGGTTGCCTTTAAACTTATTATTTATTTATTGTTATTATTATTTTATCTCTTTTGAATGTCCAAATGATTTAAGATCAGTGCTATTTTTTTTTTTTCCCATATGTTTTGAAAAGGAAATTGACAGTTTTAGTGAAATTTTGATCCTGTTTGACCCTGAGGTTAGCCCTAAATCCAGATTATGGCCCTTGCTGTGGTTGAGTTTGACACCCCTGGCCTAGATTATGTTCGCTTGGAAATGCACTGATAGTATGTTTTCAATCTTAATAAATGGCACACAGGCTAGCTATGTGCTGTGGAAAACCACACACCTTGTTGGGCTGGTTGCCAGACTACCACAAACTGAACAGGGGGCAGGGAGATGGATACGAGTTTTTGAGGATGAACTGTAGGAAAATGTTGACTACACCAGACATGAAAGCACGCTTGGCTAAGCTGCTGGGAACTAAGACGATGGAGGAGTTTCTGCACAAGGAAAAAGGTTGGATGACGAATCCCATGACTGATGGGAGTGAGTTCAATGCATATTGTGATGTGAGGTGGAGCGGAAGTTGAAACAGCCACCTCTAAGGAAGACACGGCAAAAGAGACGATGCAGCGATGCAGACCGTGCAGACGCTAACTGCGGTAAAACCTGTGACAGTAACCTGTTTAATCACCTGTTGTGAATGTTTATCCTCAGACAGAACCCTGCTCCATAGAGAGGATATATCCCGGCAGGGGAAGAGAGTGGAATTCTGACGGACGTGTGACGTCTAAAGACCTGCTGGGGATGGGATCATACCAGACATTTTTGACAACTGCCCAGACCAGGGACGTCTCTGGCTGGATCGGTGGTGGGGGGCCCCAGCCCAGACAATGTGAAAGTGGTGGCTTACTACAGTGTGATTTTTGTGGATGATGGAAAAAGTTAATTGGTGGTTTTAATTTTAACCCTGTTGACCTTATAGACCGAAAGGATCTATGTAGAAGTAACATTCAAAGTTGGTGCTCACCGCAAGGTGTGTAAGTAGACAGTTATGGTTTATAGTTTTAAGTAAATATCGTGATGTTAGCATTGTAACATCCCTGTTCTGTTAGTTTAATACTGATAAATCTAAATGCAGCTGTGCTGAATCCACATACACTCCTCACAGATGTGCCACCTAATGTAAAAGTAATAGGAAGCTATCAAAGGTCAATAAGGCCACTGAAAATGGTTTAGAGTCAAATAACTAAGCTTTGTACCAATAGTATTAACAAGCAAACTTAGGATCTGACTTTCACAGTGATTCACGCTGTGAAAGGGGGGAGATGATGAGACAATTAAAACGACATTTTTAGAATATGCTGACAATAGGTGATAAACTTTTGGGTCATTGTGATATGCGTTTTGTTAGATGAATTGAAGAGAACAATAAAACGGAAGTGGGACACTTTTCCAGTTCCAGAGAGACGTTTTTAGAAATCTATTCATAGGTAATGTGGACATGATTAAAACTGCCAAGGGAGATGTTACATGTTTGTAAGGATGACGGGTTCAGTCGATGGATGGAAGCAACACCATCAAAAGATCTTGGAGTCAAAATAAATCTGTCACTGCATGATTTGGTACATCATTCTGGGGAAGAAAGTTAATCTCTCAAGTAAATATCAGATCAGAGAATTTGCACTAACACTAACCTATAGGAAGATGCTTTGCTACTTGCGCTTATGAGCTTTCACAATCAAAAGCACTGAGATAAATCTTCCACTGCATGATTGACTAACTTACAAAGCTATGCTTTACTGCGGCTAAATAATTAAGGTTTTCGCTTGAGCAGCTGGAAATTAGTGAAGTAAATATATGAGGCATCTAACTTCGATGCAAAGATCTATCGATTAGCAGGAGGAGAGCCAAAATCTGATCCCTGTCAAGAGGTGGAGGCCAGTCAAGCCAGAGCACCAGGTGTACATCACCGTCCTTTGAGGAGGGTGGCAAAAAGAACGAGGAGAAGACCTGGACACTTTGGTCCTGGTGAACTCTACTTCAGTGCAGGAAGTGGCACGAACCACGACGGGAAGGACCGTACATGGTGGTGCGAGCTACTCCCACAGCAGTCCAGGTCGAAGGGAGCGGGACGTGGTATCACCTGTCACGCTGCACGAAGGTTCCAGGCAAAACCAAGGGCGGTATTGAGTTGAAAAACAAAGATGAAAAACATGACATTGTGGTGTGTGCTGGTGGTAATGAACTCTCTTCCATGGATGCCTGTAGAAGCAGTGGAGCTAGAGACTCAAAGGGGAAAACAGAGCACCCCGGGGACCAGAGCCACGCCAGAGACCAACCCGCACGACAGAGGAGACAGAGCATCTGAATCAGATGAGTATGATGCAACCATACAGACACCAATCCATGACGTGCTAAACTCTGAGCCAGCACTCTCAGCTGAGCTCAAACACATAAACATTCCATACCAAAACATAACTGTTAACTGTAAAATTACGTGGGTATTGTCATGGTTTCCTGAAGCTAATATGAGCGAACCGTTCTTAACCAGACCTGTTTGGTTTGAAAATCCAGAGCAAACATTAGATCAAACATGTGAAAACATAACTATGACCAGACCGAGTATGCATTTCTTTCGCAAGTCAAACTGTTGCAGTAGCTGGCAGTTACTGGATGTGTGGAGACAACATTGCGCGTAACACACTTCCACCAAAATGGATTGGGCTCTGTACATTAGTGCGAATGAAAGTGTCAGTTGTCGTGTTGCATGACGGCGTCGAGGAGATCCTTAAAATCCAGGAAGAAACAGCCAAATTGAACCGCCATAAAAGGCAGATTGACGAAAAGGTGTACATCAATAGTATAGGAGTGCCAATAGGAATTCCAGAGGAGTTTAAAGCTCAGGATGAGATTAGAGCAGGTCTAGAGTCGATTCTCCCTTGGATCACCACTAATAAAAATGTCCAATGGATAAATTAAATTTATTACAACCAACAGAGGTTTGTTAATGCGACATCTGAAATCCTGAGCGCTCTCGGTGTTCAATTACATGCAGCAAGAGTGTCACATGTTCGGGAAATATTGTTGTACCTTTATTCCAAATAACATAGCCCCTGATGGTATATTTCCTGTAGCAATGGGGAAGCTTACAGAACTCAGAGTTGAGCTCAGGGAGAGTGCGGGCAAGGGGGGACTGTCATGGGATTGGTTAGACCAAATTTTAGGAAAATGGGGAGCCGTTTGGGCTAAGATAGGACTCAGTGCACTAGCAGTCCTAATTTTAATTTCCTTTTTGATATGTTGCATCATCCCCATCCTGAGGAGGCAGTGTCTGCGGGCTCTGGAAAGACAGATGACTGTGGTGGCTGGTCTCCAAAGAGCTCAAATGTTGGACTTGCTGACGCCGTCCCAAATGGCACAACTCTGCTTGGACGACAGCAGGGCAGGAAATGGGGACTATACGGACTTATACCCAAACCCTACCAGTGTGGGTGACTCTGATGAGGACGAACAGAGTCAAGTGTAGGGTAAACAAGAAGCAGAGGTGCAGCAGCAGCAAGCAAGCAAAAGGAAAAGCAAATGGGACGGCGGAGCAAATGGACTAGCATATCAATACACATACATTCTGTTGTTATCCATGTGTGTTCTGCATACTCACATCATTTACGCATACTCATTCCAGGTAAATGGAAACGGGTAAAGGAAATGGTTAATCATTTGTTGAGCAAAATAAAACATGTGGTTGATTGTCATGTAGAGTGGGTCAGTGAAAAGCTGTTAAGATTTAGAAGGTTCACGGTAAAGGTCGCCAGCGGGAGGGGCCGCAGGGGAATTTCCTGCTCAAAGCAGCCAGCAGGTTTTCGCCCCTGCCAGATGTGAACCGAGGGATCTAAGTGTTGTATTTGTGAAAATGTAACATTCGTGATCACAAGCATGAGTTGGATTGGTTTGAAAACATACATATGCATCTGTAATCAATCAATTAGTACCATATCACATAACGTTGTCATAACTCATTCATGTAACGTAACTAAGGCTAAGACAAGATAAGTGTGAATCTCCAACGGCGTCAGTGAACTTGGTTAATCTTGAAAAGATTCAAAGGGGGGATATGTGGGGGAAAATAACAGATATGTTTGGATGTTTTGGGGGTTACCATGAAGCAAGAAAACAGGATATGGGTGGAGTGGTCAGATTGGCATAAACTTCATATCAGGTCATGGTGACCCTCTCCCATGGTAGCTTAATTGCAATAACAGGAAATCTGGCGCCAAAAGATAATGGCAGAGAAAGTCACGAAGGGGACTTTCGCACGCACATCTGGCCAAAACTAAGGTCCCTGACGTCAATGGAGGACTATAAAAGATATGTGGATGGGCTGTTTTTGGTTCTGTCTGTTCGATTGCTCATGTGCTATTGTTCGATGCTGTGATTGGAATAAAAACCCCGCCGAGAGGCTGCCAGCTTGATTCTGTCTTCGTGTAGTTCATTTCTGCACTTTTGCACCGAGGTCATCTTCTAAATAATCATCAGTACATGTCCGCAGTGGGCTCACAACATAATGTAAATATAATAAGAAAACAGTTAATCACCTGAAACAATGACTTAATGATTGGCATGACACATTCGTTCCCACAAGTACCAACCCTTTTTCTTCATGTAAGTTCTAAACCCCTTCTTTCTAATGGTGTCTGGGAAGGCTGATGAGGTAAAGCCCCTCCTCGATGAGCTTAGCCAACTGGTTATTGTTTTCTAATGCTGTCTTGGTAATGGTAAGTTCCTGTGACTGGGTCACATGTACATTTCTTGGAAACATACAGTCAACATGCTTTAGTCTTATAGCTGCTCTTGTCGTGAACATACATTGAACATTGTCCAGTCACACAAATACCTGTTGTGAAATTATCCAATAAGGATGTAGAATAATTTCACATGTTCCAAAAGTGATTCGAGGCCTCAGCACATCACATGACTTTAGATTAGCTTTTGCACAGCTTCTCCAAGAGAAGATACAGAACTTCAACAGAGAACAGAACAACAAAAAATGACTCCACATGTCCTTGAAAAACTGTGAAAGACCTCTCTGAGTTTAAGAAATACCAGGGCTGATTTTTCTCCAGCCCTGAATGGAATGAGACTGAACAGATCTGGTCAGAGCAGAGGGAGGGGGAGTTTTCAGAGTTATAAACCATGCCAGGGTGGGTCAGACTCAGGGAGTGTGAGTGTGAGTGTCTGAGCTCTACTATGGGATATGAAACCCTACTCCTCCTCTGGTAGGAACTTTTCACCTCTTCATACTCTAAGGAAACTACAGTTCTTTACATAGTTCAGGAACATTTTTAGAGTCTGGCACGTAAATACGTGAATTAAGAGGGCACCCCCCCAAAAGATTCACGATTCAAAGGCAGGTGGCGACAGTTGTGTTGACAGCTGTGATGAATGAAGCTCAGCGATGACAGTGAGTGTCTCTGTGTGTGTGTGTGTGCGTGCGTGTGTATGCACGCAGCAGATTCTCCCCTGCAAACACTTCCAGTGTCACACAGTCTGAACCAGCGGGAGGCAACTGTGTTTGAAGTCCCAGGGGAGATTTTAGAGCGAGGTTTAACTATCTGATCTGAACCCTTATTCATTCAGCTTCACTCCTACACAGTGTGTTTAAAAGTATGTGTACATGTGTATGTGTGTTTGTGACAGGGTGTCCAAGAATTTGAAGAATATTTGAAGCTCTTTTTAGAGAGGCCTCTCTGTTTTTATGTTTTATAACATAAAATTCATTGTATGAGTCACAGCAGCTTGTCTAAGGGCTGATCTAATCAAAGTCCTATTTTTCCAGTAGATGAAGCCTCATGAAGCTCTGGGGCTTTCTTTCAATTTGTGCCGAGCTCGTGAGCAAGAATTGGGCGGGAAGATTGGCATTGATGGAGGTCAGAAGGAGAAGAAAGGAGGAACAGAAAGAGAGGAAGAGACAGAGACAGAGAGAAAGAGGGGAAAAAGGCCCTTGCTGGAGAGCCCTTGCTTAACTGGAGAGCCCTCAAAGTTGTTAATCATTGGAACATTCAGCCCCAGAACCCAGACTCCAGTCAGATTGGATTAAGATGTTTGTCCTCGTGTTTAGGAAAGAGGAACAACAGCAGGCTGAATGCACATGTTTGATGGGCCTTATGATGATTTCTTGTCTTCACACAACATTTGCAGTAAAACGGCCTTCATCCTATACTTCTAGGCGGTTCAAAAGCACAGAAAGCATTGTCTCACATTCAATCCAACTTTTTCAGAGATCAACAGCTCCTCCTGGTGGCGTCTTTTTTGGGTTCATTGTCAACTGAAATGTTTCCTTAGGATGGGGAACTGTTTTTGTATATGACCTAATCTTGCCAGAGGCCTGGACCTCATGCAGAACTGCTCCAAGAGTCCTCTTGAGAATCATCATCAAACAAGTAGGCAAACCAATCAATCTCCTAAGAACAAAAGGGTTGATGCCGTCGCATGTGTTCAGAGTTTGTAGAAATTGTTGACTGGACTTTTTACCCAAAAAGAGCCAAATTCTTACCCAAAGCTATCTGCAGACCACTGTTAACACGTTCATGTTCATTTACTATCATTAACCTCAATAATTACGACTCACCTCAAAATGTTCATGTATCCATTCACAGAATTGTGTATCAATTATCATTATTTTCTTATTATTTATTGCATCTGCGTATAAACATAAGCATTCTCTCATAATTTCACCATTTATTTAAAGTTTTTGTCTTTTAGTTTTCCTGCAGAAGTTGGTGTCCCTGAAATGACAACTCTAATTCTAGATATTCATATATGAGACCAATCTAGTATTGATTTAATGTCTAATAATTGAACTGCCATGTAACGGGGAAAAATCAGATGCCCTCTGGATTAATAAAAATACTGCAAAAGCAGAGTCTTTTAAAAGCTGGGTCCTTGAAAAGCCAGTGAAAGAAAAATTGTATGTGTATGTTATCATCATTTACTGAAAATCACTTTGTGTGAATGCTTGTAAGATTATATCTGCTTCTTTTAGACAATGAACACGTGAAAAAGAAGTGAGGATGTTGAGGCATTTACAACGCTGTGACCTTTAAGTTATGGCTGTTGTTAACTAACATTTGTATTTTTTTACTGAACTCATAACTCACTGTCTGAACTTTTCCACTGAACTTATGCAACTTAATAAATGTTTTCATTTAACTTACAGGTTGTTTTCAGAACAGTGTGACTTTTGACTTGATAAGCAGGAACCTGATGAACCGCGAGGCTCTCTGTGATCTGCTGGCATCGACCACAAATTCAACCTTTGCCATACTTGGTTATTGTTTTACTGCTTACCACTTTGTTTTAAGGTGTTGACTCCTTCAAAGTAAAAGATTTAAAGACAAAGACTACACTCTCTGTTGTCCTTCTCAGCTGACTGCAAGAATTTATTTTCTGACAGCTAAGAACTTAAAAAACTGGGTCCTCAAAAGACAAAATCCTCCAAAGCTCAGCCCTTCAAAGGCTGGGTCCTTCAGAATACAGGTCTAGCTGAGGCTGGGCCTCTAAAAGACATGTGCTGCGTCCGAACTGCCCGCTCGGATACTACATGCTACTGCTACGTGCTACTGCTAGATCCTACTCCTACATACTAAAAACGTTGGCCCAATTCGGACACACTACACGAGCGGTGGGGAAAGACGACCCCCGCAGGCAGAGAGTAGGTACTGCGCCCGTGCAGACAGTGGTAACTGAAGCCCTTCATCTGCGGGCCTGGCTGTAGTACTGCAGCTGTGCAGTTTAATGATGGAATAAGTGAGCTTTACCTCCATGATGTCGCCACTTGCTCATAAAATGATTACTTGGGCAAATATGACACCATGACATGACAAAGAAATACAACCGCACATTTTTTAGGACAGTGTGTGAAGTTACATGAAACTTACATCTGTACTGCTGCGGTCCCGCCTGCTGCTGCTGCTGCTCCGACATGGTGCGCGCTGCTGTGGCCAGCCGGCGTTCGCGACGCATCTAAATAGGAAGCAGATGGTGGCGCTAGCATCACATGCGCTTCTACAACTTTTAAGAGGACGAAGAAGAAGCCCGCGGTGCATTTTGGGTCAGTAGCATGCCCGTAGGATGCACCGAGACCAACCTACAATGTGGGCATGTCTAGCATCTGAAGTAGTATCTGAAGTAGCATGCTACTCGCTCCGGTGGCCAATTCGGACATGCTAGATACTACTTCGACTACTACTTGGCAATTCGGACGCAGCTATGGACTTTCAAAGGCTTGGACCTTCATCAGCTAGATCCTTCAATAGATGGGTCCTTTAAAGACTGGGTCCTTAAAAAGCAATAACCTTGCAAGGTGGGGTCCTTAAATAGCTGGGTTTACAAGAAATTCTTCAAAAGGTTCAAAAGGTTTGTGCGAGAACAGACAGAACCTGTAATAACAGATTTTAACACATGGGGGCAGCAGAAACAAACAGTTCGTCTGCAAACCTACAGATGAATACGGGCAAGTATTGAATCTTACACCTGCTGAATGTTTGTCCAGGTCCTCTTTTTCTCCACAAAGTCCCAGGGACAGGTCTGGCTCTCTAAAATACACTTTGCATGCTGACCTGTCAAAGTTGAGTGAATTATTTTCAACACTCACAAACCAAGAAACCAGACACACATTTAACCCCAAACTACCGGGCAAATTCTTGACCTTTGACCCCTGAAAGGAATCACAAGTTAACCAGCTGATATTTTAGACCAGATGTCTGTAATTTTGTCATTTTTTCAAGCGTGGTTGTGTGAGGTTCTTGTCGGTCATGATGTATGAAAATGTAGGAATATAGTTTTATGATGTTTTTGTCTTCTGTCTCTTGCGCAGTACATGTTGCTTGTTTGTTGTGTTATCGTTGTTTCGAGTTCTCTTGACATAAAAGGTTATAGTTAGTTTTAACACTTATATTCGTTTGTTTAATCTATTCTTGTTACTGTGGAGGCTGCTGAGCATGAGCGGCACTCGAGTCTGAGACAGATTTCCATAAGGGGATAATAGAATGTAGAGTACAACCCATCACAGTGTTTTACCCAGTATCATATTGTATTGTTGTTGGGATGAGTTTCTTCAGCCAGTCATATTAGCCTCTAGAGTGTTGGAGCTGTGTCACTCAAATACCCCAGACACTTTGGTGTTAGATTGCTGGAGACGGGGGCCTCCGACAACCATCCCTGACCGAGGAACCCTGTACACATTATTTACATTATATTAGGTCCCCAAAATATGTTTTGCTATGGTATTTCCTTCTTGGGACCTTCCACATGTTCACCTAAGGCTTTTTAAAATATGTTGTCCTTTGTTTTTACCGTACATGGATTTCTCTTAGGGTCAACTAAATATCAACAGTATGTTTAGAGTTGTGTACAGCTATATTTGAACGGTCTCAGACCACTCTTTGTTACACTTGTGGCATGATGAAGCTGTAACCCAGATCTGCAGCCAGTAAAGCTTGTCAAACTGACCCTTCGTGTGGACCTTCCATTCTTTCAAGTGTGAACCTGGGCTAGGCATCCTTACAATTGTAGAGCATCTCATTGAAAAGTGGAATTTTTTGTTGTAGTGAATCTGTTCAAGTTCCCAAATGTATCAAAAATTAAAAGAAAAAAAAAAAATGTTGCGTAAAGTTGTGCACATTTAGAATAACATTGTTTTTTTTCTTTCTTAATATTAAGCTTTAAAACATTAACAAAGGTTTAAAGTCACTGTTTTTGAAATTATACTGTATATAGAGAGATATTTGTGAATTATGCCATGAGTGTTTTGGAAAATTTATGTGTAAATGTTTAATCCACATGCTTTATCTAAAGCTAAATATTGCACATCTGTACAAGATATTCACAAAAAGGAAAAAGTTAACTGTCAAAAGTCTGCAGGGAGAGATTTTTTGAAAGACAAGCTAAGCAAAGACTTTGTCCACAAGGGGCGCTAGAACTGCCCTGAACCCAATATTTCTTGAGCTTAAATCTGAATTATGTTCAAACTTAAACTAAAGGTTAATGTTAGATTTACATGTTCAATTTAAGATCTAAATATGCAATAATAATTGTGATTGAATGTTATATCTACATGTAAAGTGTAAAATATTTGTTATTTCTGATACTAAATGCATTCAAATCTTACTAAACAACAATAAATCTAAATGTTATACTCCTATATCTAAATGTTAAATACAATATTCAATGTAAACATAATTCTTAGTATTAAATATTAATGAAAAATGACTATTTTGCGAGTGGAATATTATTTGTAAATGTTCATCACAAAGTGAAATCTTTATCACAATTTCAAATGTGAATATGAAATATTAAAAATTACATGTTTAATGTTCAAATTACATGTTTAATGTAAAATTCAAATGTTGATTTGGCTTAATGTTGTATCAAATCCTTAAATATAAATTTAAATGTTAAATTGATCAGTATAGATAGAAAATTCACCCCCTTGTCGGTGACACCCTGTGAGTTCAGCTCCTGCAGACCCCTGTGGTCTCTCTGCAGACTGCATCAGCTGCTGGAGTCCTGAAGTTTTTCTCAGGACCAGCAGGTGTTCTCATGGTCTGGCTAGCTCTAATTGGAGCAGAGCAGCAGGGTTTCCTCTTCCAGGAAAGTCTCAGCCTCCCTGTTGGTTGATGTCACACAATCATGCGTTTCATTACCCCGAACAAACCCTGAGCACGCTGCCTGTTCACAGCAGAACAAACAACAGGTCTAAAAACAGTTCAAGCACTCCAGCAACAAGACGCTTTTTCTTTCTCCAAAGTTCAATGTCTGCAGAACAGTTTGGTCGGATAAAAACTGTTTGAAATCTGTGCTGCAGCTGGAAATATGTGTTCTGGGGCTGAAATCCATTCATGATCACTCCCTGCAGATCTTTTTAACATGCAGACATTTAAGAAATAGCAGGTTTAATCCTAAACCCTGCTCAACAGTGCAAAACTGTTGTTGTTCAGAGATTAAAATCTTTGTATGTTTGTCTTATTTCACGTAAAAATGTCTCACTAGCGTCAATTTAAACAAGCTCAGAAAAATAGTCTTATTTGAAGATATTTATCACCAAAAACAAGATTTGAGTTCAGCTGATGGAAAAAAGTTACTGATCAAGTTCTTTAAACAAACATGTTCCTAAAATGGAGGAACTTCAACTTAATTTCAAGACACTTAGAAATATTTTTTTCGTGTTACACTGGCAGATTTTTGTGTATCATAGCCTATGAAGACTTAGACATTTTTGACTAGAAACAGGACAAAAAACAAATATATTGATAAGACTCACTGATATTATCCTCACCATAGGCCATGCATCATGTATCATGCATCATCTGGTGATCATAACTCTTTGAGCCCACTTTGATTTGTACAAAGCTTTATGGTTTTGTGGCTTTATCATTTCTAGACCTGGCCCCCTGAAGGGCTCTGTGTAGACGTGTATTTGATGGTAAACCTTGAATATTCTCACACAGTCCCTCTACTGATTGCTTGTTTTGTTCCTGTTGTCGCGCCCGCCCTTTCCTCCATCAATGCTGCTTTTCTCTCCCGTTTTCTCAGGCACAGCTGTTTTTAAGATCTCAGTGCTGTTACATGAGAGTCAGTGCTGTTTAATAAAGCCGTCACACTGTCAGACGGTGAGTGTTTTCTCTTCATTTACTGTCTTCTTTGAATTCGTGGACTGTTTTTGTGCACTGATGGCACCCTGAGGGAAGAACTAAGTTTTATTTACGCCATGTTCTTCCATAAAATCTTTATATTTGTTTCATTGCTTTTCAGTTCTAGGGATTTTGGGTGGTCAGTCGTTTTCATAGAAAAAGCTGAAATGTTCATATTTTGGATCACTTTAGGCCTGGGAAAGCACGCATTTGACAATCCTGTTGTTGTTTTATATATAAAAATAATGTTTACTCTCTACTGATAGCACTGTGGTTCTTTGAAGACTTAAAATCCAGTGAAGGTTGAACTCTCCGGCAGGCACTCGGCTTGATCATTTAATCGAATTTTGACAAAACCTCGCACAGGCTCGGTGCCTCTGGATGTCTCTTTCGAAACAAATTTATATTTTTATTGGCATCAGTGGATTTACACACTCTTCCATTTGAGATGGAGATGTTTTCTTTATCCCATTACAGACCAGAGCTCTGAATCTGAGAGCTGGAGCAAAATGTGATCTGTCCCGATAAGCCAATAAATGCTCCTTCATCAGTTTATTGTTCAAATCCATTAAAGAAGCACTCTCCTGAGCAGAGCAAACACTGACAAAGAAACACTCACTTATCCTAAAACATAAGAAATACGCTCAACGTCACAGGCTGAATCTTAAAACTGTATAGTATTTTTGCACAAGTCAAGGAAACAACTTTCAAACAACATTGAAATGTTTTCCTCAGCTTTAAACGGCAGCAGACTAATGAATTTAGGAAGGTGAACCCGACAGAGTGAAATCTGCCAACACAGGAGGTCTTCAGGCCTGAAGTGTCTGCAGGGAGCCAGGAGGATGAGACGGTTCATGTTGATTAAATCTGCCATATGCTGGCACTGTCTTCACGTCCCAGACTGCATGTCCCACAGCACAGCAGATGTGACAAACTACCAATTGTTTAGGAAATGAAATCTATCAGGATGTGAACATGAGAGAGCATGAGAATCAGCCAATTTCTGCAGCACTTCTATCCCAGGCAGGTTTGGCAGACAGCAGAGTCGGAACATTTGCCAAAGGGAGGCAGCTACACCTGGTCATCTGTCCTCCTTTTCACTTTTTTGATCTTTGCATTTCAATGTTGTTCAGAAATCACACTATTACTCCATTTAAGAGCTTCCAGGTTTAATTAAAGTCATGTTAGATTCAAACAATATACAAATTTAATGATGAAGCAATTTACATTCAGATAGCCACTGATTCTAACCAACAATTCTGCCATGAATAACCATGTGGGTCGTCCGTCCAGGTTTGTGCTTCATGTTAGCTGTCATTGCTATGGCTCCCTCCACACAAGTAAGAGTTCCTGTCTCTGAACATGTTTCATGTTAAAGATTTGATGTCAGGGTCTTTCTGTTAATGCAGACCAGGGTATGCCTCACTCACGACAAAGTCTGAGAAGAAAGTTTTAAAAGGGATATTCTGATGTAAAATTACTTTACGGTCAAACACACCATAACACCAAGTTAGACGCCCCCTTGACTGATGAATGTTGCCGACTGCTTGCTTCTCTAGTTATACCAAGTTTAGTAATGACCACACGATAACAATACACAGCGGTCGGAGGAGCCAAACACAAACCTCAATCAGTACGCCACTCTACAGCCACAAATAATGCTCAGAACAGCACCTAACTTCATCAACAGTATGTATAGGGTCCTAGCCACAGCACTAGCCACCAAACATCTTTTTAACTTTGTCTGAATTCTTCAACAAAGAGACTAAACACAACTCACCCACTCTCTTCCAGCAGCTGCTTGTTTGTAGCAAGACCTTGGGCCAGTCCATTACGGACTACAGCGGGGTGACGCAGCTCAAGGAAGAACATTTATGATTATTACTTTATCATTTCCTTGAAGTAATAATCATCATATCAATCATTTTGCACTGCAGACACGGTAGTTCTTCTGCCTCAGCGTCTTGGTCTGATTGCATTTCCATGAAGAAATGATGTTTCATACCAAGACCCACAAATAGTCCTCCTGTATACTCATTCTAACCCATTAAGAAGTCGGCCATTTTGATTTGAATTTTTAGTTGACCCCCTGAAAGGTTGCATTTGTGAATGAACTTGTCCTACAGCTGTTTGATCAGGTCTGGTGTCACACAGCATCGACACTTTGAAGTTAGCTTGTAAGGGGTGGGGGGTGGGGGGTGTTATTCATATTTTTTTGTCAAAATCTATTCTTCCTTTCTGATACCTCTTTAATGTCTTTACATGATTTTCAGGTTGAAAAAAAAAAACCCTGTTTCTCACTTTGCTGTATTAAAATACCATTATTCCAGCCTCAGTCTAAAATCCTCTGTTTTGGTTGCCGTCTCTTTAATTAAAGATCAAATTCACAACCCTAACCACATGTAAAAACAAGTATCTTACTGTCTGTGTGCTAAAAGTTAAACATGCACTCTGATAGTCCCAGTCTGAATGGATCCACGGAGACATTTAGCTCATGATAGTTGAACCACCTACTCTTGTTTTTTTTTTTTTTCTTAATCCTCTTCTGGACAAATTTAGATTTGCTACTCGTCTTACTGCTCGAAGAGTTGCAGAACAAATTATATCAAAATGTGCAGTTTGATCGGGATTGGTGTGCTATTACTTTTCTCTATTGTATTTGAGTTTTTAGCAACGCAAGTCATGAAAAAACTTTGGCATTGTTGTAAAAATCAATACTTGAAAAGGAACGTTTGTTGTAGGTGTGCTCCTTGTATATAATATCACAATGCTACTCAGATTGATTATTTGAAATCTCTAAAGAATCTCATCATAATGAT